GTGGCCCGGGCTTCCCAGGAGAACGGGGGGGGGGGGGAGCAGCCATCCCTGGGCTATGTTCATGACACAAAAGCCAATCTCCAGTGATTTCTGGACAAACCAGGTAACTCTGAACTTCGGTCCGAAGTTAAAAATAAATGCAAGCCAAATGCAAAGAGTTTATTCACGGAGGAAAGCCGGTGCTTGTGCAAATCACACAACCAGATATCTGCAGCAGTAAAAGAATTATTCCGAGATCCAGGGAAAGGGGAAAGCGGTCTCTTGGTCCCACTGGAACTCACACACCCCCCTCCACAAAAAAGGCTCGGTGGATTGCAGAAATGTTAGCATTTAGCTGCATGTTCCCTTTGGAGCCCAGCCATTACAGCATCCAATCAGGACCTTCTCGGCACAGACATCCTCACTTGACGTGTGCATTCAGACAACTTCCCTTCATGTGATTTACCATTTTTCCTTGTCATATGCGACACTGCATGCCTGTGGGTGCAGGTGTACTTGCACGCATGCTGTCCAAGAAGTCTTTTGTGGAACTATAAACTGAGATGCAGAGAAAAAAAAATCCAAGAGCCTGGATTAGGTAGAAGAAGAGGAGACTGGATTTATACTCCACCCTTCACTACCCAAAGGAGTCTCAGAGTGGCTTATACTCCCTTTCCCTCCCCACAACAGTCACCCTGTGAAGTAGGTGGGGCTGAGAGAGCTCTCTTGAGAACTGCCCTGGAGAGAACGGCTCTGAAAGAAGTTGTGACTGACCCAAGGTCACCCCAGCAGCTGCATGTGGAGGAGTGGGGCATCAAACCTGGTTCTCCCAGCTTAGAGTCCGCACTCTTAACCACTGCACCAAACTGGCTCTCATCAAAAAGCCATTTCCAACACCTCAGCATGTAAACGCCTTTATAGGACGGAGCGACAGGCTGATATTGTAAGTGTACAGAGGAGAACATAAATATATTTATTTCGGCTCAGAGTCCATTCTCACACTCGCGGTGAAATGCCAAAAGGGGGGCAACACTCGTGTCGGGGAGATGGCCGTACAAACAAGGCACAAGATGTCCCACCGTTCCGGAAGCCCCGCCCACACTGTCTTTTGGCTTTTGCAGCGTTGTTACACAGTGAAATCGGACTGCCTTTTCGGGACTGCCACAGCAGGGCACCTATGAGCCCAAGTCAGCCCCTACTTAAAAAAAACGAAGCAGCCACAGAGACTGCGGTGAATGGGCGTTAGCAGGGGGGGCATCTATCTCCCCCCAATTTTTTTTTGTCTGCAGAACCTCAGTATTTCCCCGTTCAATCTTCCAGTCCCTCGAGCTCCATGCTGGTTTGACTTGCAGGAAAGGGAAAGCGCATGGCTCTCGCGTGGCCAGGAGGCGTCGTCCTGGAGGAGCAGCTCCAGCCCAAGTTTCACAGAGTCACAAGAGGACCCTCCCACCGACCCGCCCATTTTAAACCACTGCAAGAATCATCTTCTCTTTCTTCTTCCTCTTCCGCCTCTTCTCCTCAAAGCGGTCGGTGGCATCCGCGAAAAAGGTCACTTCGTCTTTGGCCTCAATTTCTCTCTTCAGGAACTGGAGACCGGCCATGTTGAACCCCAACACGTCCTGCAGGGAGAAAAGGAGAGAGAGACAGGGGGAGTGAACTAGCAGCAGAAAGAGGACATACTGGGGAGGCCGGTGCAAAAATCAATCCCATTGGACAGTCAGGGCCCTTCTTGTCGTCCTAATGAATTCTAGCAACTTTGCTCAGTGAAGGCTCTCTCTGGCTCTGACAACAGCCTTGTAAGGTAGGCTTGGATTACCATCCCCTTACTAATGGTGGGGAGCCGAGGCTGAGAAGCTGGGGACCACCTGGAAATTCAAGAATGAGAGTACCAAGCTCACACTTTTAGCCAGCGTGTTATAATGTATATATTGGGGACTGGAACATGTTGTTTACCCTGCAACAGCCAGAGACTGAAAAAGCCACCCTCCAACTCTACCCTGGCTATAACATTTCCCTTTTTTTTTTTTGATTTGCCCAAATTGGGCAGAGTTTATTATTTTTTTGAAACTTACATAAAAGAGAGCCATACATTTTAAAACAGCTAGCCAAATATCTCGCTCACATCATAATGTTTGCATACACATTCCCATTTCCCCCCCCCATTTTAATTTATATTCAGTAACAAACACTATTAAACCAAGGATCTATTCCCGTTATAGAACTAATTCATCTATATTCTATCTGCTATATTTCACTTTATCTATAATATACTATTATTAATCTATTTTATATCAATGAAAACAAAGAAGAAAAGAAACAGGCATAACTTAACAGTTTGACTATGCTAGTGAAGGCATATATTTCTTCTAAGTTAACAATCTAGTCCCTTTAAATAGCCTTTCATATTTTTGACACTGCTAGTTTTCAAAATCCCATTAACTTGCAGGCCTAAACATAACTTGTTCTATTTTCCCTACAATCTCAGCTCTCACACTAACAATGCCGTATAGCTTTCACCTTATCCTGTAACATCTCGTCTTCTCTCTCAAAATAGTTAAATCCATGCACATTCTCTAAGTAAACAGCCCATTAATTATATATTTTTCCCTGCAATTCCTCTCTAAAAATTCAAACTGCCCAAACTGGGCAGGCAGGCAGCAGGCTATAACATTTCCAAGCTCTTGCTAAGGGACGTGGCCCTTGTCACAGAGTGTCAGATCCATACAATAATTTTCCCGTCTTGCTGCAGACCTCCAATTCACCCCTCATGCAGTTCCCCGGAATCCACAGTTCTACACCTCCGAGCGGTATTTTGGAGAGCTCCATAGTGTGCAGAAGGAGGAGAGAGAGGGGGGAGTTTCGTTCTCTTAATGGATGTTCCGTCTGTTAGCAAAAAAATATCGTGAGCCTCCATCTCGAGAGTTTTCCCCCCACCCATTCCTGGCAGCTGGCCGGGAGGGAGGAGAGACGGACCGTGGTGAGAACCAGTCCTAATGGAAACAGTTGCTACCTCCCCAGTGGGCTGTGAAACAGCAGAAGGCAAAACACATGTGCTGATGCCGCCAGCATGGCCGAGAACTTGCAAACGGTACACAGCCAGGACAAGGACTGTTCACGATGGAAGCCCTGTTTAGGTTGATGGAATTATATGGTTGGGTTCAACTGAAATAGGCAAAACTATGCGCAGTAGAAGCTAAGCCTTTATCCGCTTTGACCAACGGTTAAGGAAAGCGTCCGTCCCTACAAAAGTTCAAGACCCTCTGCCCGTCCCTTTGTCCAGGCTAAACAACTTTACTGCACATTTTACGTCACATGAATGCAATAAAGGTATTCCCTTGCTCAAAAGCCAGTCAAATCCGACTCTAGGGTTGCGGTGCTCATCTCCGTTTCAAAGCCAAAGAGCCAGCGCTGTCCAAAGACGTTTCCGTGGTCATGTGGCCGGCATGACTAAACACCAAGGCGCACGGAACACTGTTCCTTTCCCACCGAAGCGGTACCTATTTATCTACTTGCAATTTCTTGCTTTCGAACTGCTAGGTTGGCAGGAGCTGGAACTAGAGATGGGAGCTCACTCCATCATGCGGCACCCGAGTCTCGAACTGCTGAACTACCGACCTTCCACAGCCTGCAGTTCAGCGTCTTAACCACTTGAGCCACCACATTAGCATGCACCAACAGCGTCATGCCAGTACAGATCTTGCAGAGGTTATCATCCAATCCTGGCAAAGCTCTTCATCCTCCAGTTCTGTGGCCACTGGACGTTGCATCACTTTTACTCTTCTTTTGAAACTTAATTTTAAGAATATGACTACCTTATCTGGATGCTACCTTCTTTCTTCATATAATTGCTGAGCACAACAGACAGTGGAAAGGCAGTACGGGGTGAACGGGGGCTCTTGCCATGTAATGCAGAGAGCCAGGCAGACTGGCAGTCTCTGTACAGATAGGACTGAAGACGAGCCAGGCAGGCCGCGCTGGCTCTGGGTCAGAGGATCGTCTTGTCCGTTTTATTGCTTCCCAGTCATTGTGGCTGCACTGTGGCTCAAGACGATCATTTAAATAGTCGCTCCATTGCGGCAGCACCCCTAGGACAACCAAAACGTGCGCTCTGGCCTTGTTGTGACCTGGCCACGTCAACTTATTCTTGCTAAGCTAGCTGATGAGGAACTATTAAGGGACCTGCACTCCGCAAATGGATAAAGACGATGTTGGTTAATATATTAAGATCCACACAATTCTATCAATCGTTTTTAAAAAACAAGAGTTGGCCAAAAGGCCGGGGAGAACAGGATCAGCCTCCCCCCCCCCAACTCAACGGCTGCATCGCTCTGTGTCTCTCCCCCCCCCCCAAAAAAAAACACCCACTCACCCTCACTTGGCTGACTTTGGCAATGGTGGTTTCCTTCAGATTCTCCATCACCTTCAGCAGCATCTGGTTGCTTGTGATCTTCCCCAAGGGTGTCTTGGGGGGGGGGGGGGGGGGGGAGAGAAAGAGAAACAACTAATGGCTTCCAGACTGCCAAAGCGTTTTTTCTGGTTGGAGTAAGTTCTGGTTGGAGGTTTGTTGAACCCCACTTTAGTTTGGGTCTTACTAAGAACGGAACAGGGGGAAGAGCCGTGTGGGGCGGCAGGAGGAGCCTGGCCCCCACTGTGTTGAGTTGTTTAAGAGCCAGTTGAGAGCCAGTTTGGTGTAGTGGTTAAGAGAGCCAGTGTGTTGAGAGCCATAGAAGGCCCCAGGTAGGGGCTGTGGCTCAAGGGCAGAGCTCCTGGGAAGGAGGAGGGGGGGGAGAGATTGGATTTATATCCCACCCTTCACTCGGAGGCTCAGAGTGGCTTACAATCTCCGAGAGAGAAGAGGGGGGGGGGGGGGGGGGGGTCTCCTTTTTTGAACCAAACGTTCCCTCCGATCAAAGCCACTTAGTGTGAAAAAGCACACACGTGCAATTTTATTTATGAAAACATTTCTATCCCGCCTTTCCTCATGGTTCGAGGCGGCTTACGATCACAGTGAAAAAACGGTTTCAGTTAAAACCAAGACTCCGCAGCTTAGAGGGAACATTGAGTCTGCGACTGGCCGAAGGTCACCCAGCGGGCTTCAAGTGGAGGAGTGGGGAACTGAACCCGGTTCTCCGGATTAGAGCCCGCCGCTCTTAACCATCACACCAAACTGGCTCTCTAGTCCTGGGCTCCGGTCCGTGCCAGCCAGGGACGGCCAACAGAGTCTCTCGCACTTATCCCATTGGACAAATAAAGTTTGTTTTTTGAGAAGAGATCTAGACTGTGGAAAGGACACGAAGGGGAGGGATTGCACCCAGGGCGCCACTGGATTCAATGGGTCCAACCTGGCAGCCACTTCTTTAGCCGAGCCCTCGAACCGAGGCACCGGCTAGCCACGACCGACTACGCACCGTCTTCTTCAGGGCGGCGATTTACCTCAGCAGGATGAGGAGTGCCCGGCAGAGCAGCTCCACCTCCGAGTCCTGCTGGAGATACTGGCTGAAGAGCCTGAGGAGGTCAGGGACGTACGAGAAGGGCAGAACCAGCAGAGACTCTTCCAGCTCACTGCAGGGAGGAAGAGAACCCGTCAAACCCCCGGCATCGCACCTACCCCAGCAGCCCGGGGCAGGACTCCCGTTGCAGCAAGTCGCCTGCCAAGGAGACAGACGAAGAAACAAAAAACCACCCACGATAAACCAATGGATCCACAAGACCTGGGACATTTTTATGCTTGAAAGATTTTCAATTTATAATACAGTACATCAAAACGAATGTGAATTCTACAACCCGCTAAGTATTTGGTATCCCATTCTAGACAATATAGAGTTAAACAAATTTGATTGGGAAAACATAACGGAAGCTAAATACAAATTGATGCTTTATTGTGAATAATATAACCAATTTAGCTTTCCCCATTTTGCCTATAACTTGATGCTCTTAGTGTACAATATTAAAACATGCTTGGATTTATATGCATTACTAAACCTTATTGGACATATACAAACTCTACCTGTAATGATATGTTTATTAAGTCTATCTTCAACCCTAATGTCATGTCAAACTGTTTATATTGTGGTATTATTAAAATCAATAAAATTTCTTTTAAAAAAAAGAGAGAGACAGACTAAGAACGACAAACCAACAATGACTTTCGAGGGTCACTTCCTGTCTCCTGAGGAAGGACATTCAGGTGACCAATCAACAAAGCCAAGGACCTCCAGAAAGACATACGAGTGGGTTGGTTCTAGACCGAATTAAAGTGACCACCCCTTTCTCCTGCCTCAGTTGTTCCCCTCAGTCAAGCCCACCAAGCCACTCGCAAGCCTCGGACAGCAACAACTACTCACCTGGACTTCACCTTCTTGAGAACTTCTAGTACATAAGCAGCGGGCTGGAAAGAGAAAGAGGGAACCAAAGGGTAGTCCTCTGTTAGCTTGGCTGGTCTGCTCACGCCCCCAAGGGAAAACTTACAGAAATTCTCCGGAAGTGAAATTTTAGCGCGCATACAAAATTCCCCACACAGAGCAAACTAGGGATGAAATGCGAGGCGAGGTAAGAACCAAAGTTCCCTCTAAGCTGCGCTAGGGGGCGCTGGTGCAAAACATTTTAGCTGACAGAGCAGGGAACTTACCTAGCAGTGCAGCCTACAAAAGAACTGAGACGGGCATTTTCCTCTCCACTGGAAACAACGGGGGCACCTCCTTCTGGGGCTCATAGAACTGGACCCCCCCCCCCGGTCCTCCAGTCTTTTTGAAATGGGGGGTTTGAGGAGAAGCACCAGCAGCTATGCTGCAAATCTGGTGCCTTTACCTCAAAAAACAGCCCCCCTCCGAGCCCCAGGTTCCCCTGGATCGATTCTCCATTACAGCTGATGAGAAGAAGAGATTGGATTTATACCCCACCCTTCACTACCCGAAGGAGTCTCAGAGTGGTTCACAAACTCCTTTCCCTCCCCCTCCCCACAAAAGACACCCTGTGAGGTAGGTAGGGGCTGAGAGAGCTCTCTTGAATACTGCTCGTGAGAGAACAGCTCTGAAAGAACTTGTGACTGACCCAAGGTCACACCAGCAGCTGCATGTGGAGGAGTGGGGAATCAAACCCGGTTCTCCCAGATAAGAGTCCGCGCTCTTAACCACTACACCAAACTGGCTCTTGTTCTTCCATCATCTTATCTTCCAAGCCTTGAAGAACTGCTACGTATAAATGTTTCAGGTAGTAAGTACAGGAGGATAAGGATATTCTATTAACAAGACCTACAATGGACCCGAATCAAAAGGACCAACACGCCACCTCCAACCCGCACATCTGGTCATCCTGATTTCTTGCAATCCACATAATCCTACGGACGGCAGCCGTCCCCCAACCTAGGGAAAGCAGATTAGCAGTCCATGCATCTCAAAATTCCACACATGCCACTTACTGAAATACTGCCGTAGGCCAGGAGAATGGGGTTGACAGGAAGAGGAACCTGTGGACAGAAAATGGGTTACAATTAAGACTCCCCTCAGGCAGGACAACCTGGAATACAACCAAAGCCTTTCACTGAGGTCGTGTCAAGCAGATGGATCTAACCTTGCTAGCGCCCACAGTCTCACCAGTTCACCCTCCTTTTCTCCACCCCAATCTCATCTCCTGCACAACCTGTCTCCTCCCTTACATTGCTCTACTATCTGATTTCTGAGCAAGAGTAGCCCCGAATCTACCCCTTCGCCTGAATTTTTATGGTGTCTTATCTACAGACTACAGTGTCTCTCTCCCCACTGTCCTAGCGGCTTCACCTGTCTCCCTCATCTGGGCTTTCCCCTTTTGTACGCACAGATGAGCTGTCAAGTCGCAACTGAATTATGGCAACCCCAATGAGGGGCTTTCAAGGCAAGGGGAAGCAGAGGTGGTCTGCCATTGCCTTCCCCTGCAGAGTCTTCCTTGGAGGTCTCCCACCCAAGACTTATGATGACCCCAGGGAGGGGCTTTCAAGGCAAGGGAGGAGCAGAGGTGGTTTGCCATTGCCTTCCCCTGCAGAGGCTTCCTTGGAGGTCTCCCACCCAAGACTTATGGTGACCCCAGCGAGGGGCTTTCAAGGCAAGGGAGGAGCAGAGGTGGTCTGCCATTGCCTTCCCCTGCAGAGGCTTCCTTGGAGGTCTCCCACCCAAGACTTATGGTGACCCCAATGAGGGACTTTCAAGGCAAGTGAGGAGCAGAAGTGGTCTGTCATTGCCTTCCCCTGCAGAGTGTTCCTTGGAGGCCTCCTACCCAAGATTTATGGCGACCCCAATGAGGGGCTTTCAAGGCAAGTGAGGAGCAGAAGTGGTCTGTCATTGCCTTCCCCTGCAGAGTGTTCCTTGGAGGCCTCCTACCCAAGATTTATGGCGACCCCAATGAGGGGCTTTCAAGGCAAGTGAGAAGCAGAGGTAGTCTGCCATTGCCTTCCCTTACAGAGTCTTCCTTGGAGGTCTCCCACCCAAGTACTGACCCTGCTTAGCTTCCAAGATCTGACAAACTGGGCTATATCATGCCACTTTCCCTCCCCTCCTGTGACTGCCCTGAAATAAGCTTGTGATCAAGGAGGATTCCACAGGCACAAGAACCTGGAGGGCACTGAACCAAGGCTGGAAACTGCACAGGCTCAAAGCACTTGGAGGGGAAGGGAGGAAGGAAGGCAAGCATGCACGATAAAGAAGACTATGCCACTATGCTGAATTATTCTACTTTCAGTAATTAATTAGCCCAGGCTACCCGGATCTCGTCAGATCTCGGAAGCTAAGCAGGAGCGGCCTTGCCTAGTATTTGGGCGACCTCCAAGGAATACCAGGGTCATGACGCAGAGGCAGGCAATAGCAAGCCACCTCTGAAAGGTCTCTTGCCTTAAAAACAAGTCTAGCTCGCCACCTAGTGCTGCATAACACTAAAAGAGGTAGAACTTCTGGATGCAGACAATCTCAGGATCTCCTGGCTATTCTACATACAACGCCATATGGTAATTAATTAGTTAAGGGTCAGGATGGAGCATAGCTGCCCTGGGGCACAACGAATGGCTGACCCAGCTCCTGGCCCATCTCTGCTCCCTTCTGCCTGAGGGTTCTCATTGGGCACACAACCACAGAGGCACGAAACAGACACACCTTGGGAGTTCCTGCTGCCCATAGAGCTAAAAACGTTCATGTGCTTGAACTCAAAACACAGCAGAGAGTACACAGGTTTCTGCCAAGGATCTCTCTTTTTCTTTTAAGAGGCAGATTTAAGCTTCGAAAGAAAACACGCAAGTATACAGGAGCGCCTGCTGAGGGAGTCACAGCCGGCCACAAATGCCTAACGTGTTCAAGTCCAGAGTTATACAGAAGAGAAGAAACAGACTCATAGAATCAGAGTTGGAAGGGGCCTCCAAGGTCATCTAGTCCAACCCACTGCACAATACAGGAAATTCACAAACCCCCCCAGTGACCCCTGTTCCACACCCAGAAGATGACGAAAAACCCTCCAAGATCTCCAGCCAAACTGGCCTTGGGGGGAAATTGATTCCTGACCCCAAAGTGGCGATCAGCATTTCCCTGGGCATGTAAGAAAGGGCCAGGAGAACTAAGCACTGATGCAACCTCTCTTGATCTGCCCAAGTTCACGGAATCAGCAATGCTGTCTGATGGCCATCTAGCCACTGTTTAAAAACCTCCAGAGAAGGAGAGCCCACCACCTCCCAAGGAAGCCCATTCCACTGAGGAACCTCTCTGTCAGGAAGTTCTTCCTAATGTTTAGCCGGAAACTCTTCTGATTTAATTTCAACCCTTTGGTTTTGGTCCGACCTTCTGGGGCAACATCTCGGAAAGAACTTACAGGAGATGATGCAGGGGTCCCGAGCAAGACATGCCTCACAGAAATGTCAAAGGCTAGACAGACCAAACAGCCCTATTCAACTTTTCCCGCCTTTGCTTGAACGGCTGAAGTGTTTTCTCCCTGAGAAGGGAATCGTTTGGCCCTGAGCACATCACGATGACCGCAAGACCGCCTGCTCCTTTCCTCACCTCTTTCCCAGCCGCTCTGCAGATGGCTCTGTGCTCTTCCAGCTTGGTGGTCTCCTCTCGGTAGAGCTCGATGGCTTCCATGATTCGTTCCGCCTAGGGATGCCAGAACAGCCTCTGGTTAATGCGGAGCAGGTGGCCGCAGGGTGAAATGCTTCTCTGTGCACTAACGAAGCCTCCATTCCCCTGTAATGGCTTGCCTGTGCCATTCTGGTAACACTGTGTAGTGCTACAAGATTGAAGTGTTTTGCCATGCTGTTATGGCAAAACTGACATTTATCAGAGATCGAAAGACGAATTTGAAAATAACTGGCAAGTTTTCTGTGATTACTATAACCAATCTTCGTAGTCATGCAGTTGAATGGTTTGTATTACATGACAGTTTCAGTATGGAATACTAAAGATGTTTTCTTTTGTATGATTATTATCACAACAAACTGTTACGTTAAAATTATACACAGAATTCTATGAGGTTATTCATGGTTTATCATATAACGGATAAGACTGATAAGATAGGATAAAAATATTAATATGAGAAAATGGCAGAATGTTGAGTAGGTTGTTATAGTGGTTTTTAAAGTTACAATGTTACACAATTTTCCTAAAAATTCAAGTATCTGAATCAAGGACTGTCCTTTATATTTGCAACTTAGAAATGCCCTTTATACTATGTTTTGGTAATTTTTATTTTATTCTTTCCCTTTACCCCTTTTTTAATTCTGTATTCTCTCAAAAAGTTCAAAATAAAAATTATTTAAAAAAAAAAAATGAAGTGTTTGGTACACAAAATACAGCATCTTTGCTCGCCAGTCAGCACTGAGAACAGCCTGTGTTTTAAAGGCTTTTTCTGCAAAACCACCAGCTCTGGCTTGAAGAACTGCCACCAGGCAGGTGAGGAAAACCCTGCCATTCCTGCACCGGCTACAAGAATTCGGCAGGCACTTCTCACACCGGTTTCTGCAAAGGCCTCAGCTCCAAAAGACAGGCCTGGCATACCCGCAGCCAATCCCCACCTCCTTCTGGAGATCCACCGAAGCCACAGTCTCTGCTTCTGGATGAGAGGCTACGGAAAATAGACACTGAACCACCGAGTTGCCATCTATGACAGTGGATTAGATCTATAAGTGAACCGGCCCTGGGAAGACGCCTAGGTGACCAAGAACTTATGTTGTCAGGCTAGGTTGATAAAAGGATCCCATCTTGGAGAGATAAGTTAGTATCTAGAGCACCGCACTTTATTTATTGATTGTTTTATACTGTTTTAACTGTTTGTTATGGCATTTGCTGCTGTTGGAAGCCGCCCTGAGCCCATCTGGGGAGGGCGGGATAAAAATCTATTAAATAAATAAATAAATATAAATTCCCCGGGAACACCAATTTAGGCAAAATGCAGAAGTACCAAAGCCTTTCTCTTCCTAGCTATCGGAAGCACAGTTTGCCTCCAGGAGGCCCCAGTGCAGCAAACACAGTCTGGGCAAAGAGCTGATCTCTCTGGATTAGGATGACCTCAAAGCCTGGTTAAGGGGAAGTGGCCTAGTTCTCACGGTCCGGAGCAGGCCCCACATCAGCAAGGCACTTCCTGAGAAAGAGCTCTACTCCTTAGGAAGGATTCTGCCCGGATGCGTCACACTTACCCCCTTGACGGTTTCAATGGTCTTCTTCCCAGCCAAGCCAGCCTCGCCCTGCGTTTCGCCAGCCACCTGAAAGGAGCAGAGGAAAGGTTTCTGAGCAAACTCCTGTGAAGCACGGGTCTCCGGCGGCAGCATCATGGTCGGGGCCGGTGTTCCTTCTAAGCTGAGTTGGTGTGAGCTAGCTCACAGTTTTTTAGCCTCCGGCTGACAGATTTTGGTCTTTGCTCAGGAAGCAGGGCTCCAGAGCAAACTAATTTATGCAGTCGCCCAATCGCTCGCTCACAACTTTAATGCCGGTAGCTCACAAAGTAGAATTCTTGCTCACAAGACTCCACAGCTTAGAGGGAGCATCGGGCTGGAGCCTGTTTGGTGCAGTGGTTAAGTGTGCGGACTCTAATCTGGGAGAACCGGATTTGATTCCCCACTCCTCCACTTGCAGCTGCTGATGTGACCTTGGGTCAGTCACAAGCTGTGGCACAGCTGTCCTTGAAAAAGAGCAGTTTGTGTCAGAGCTCTCTCAGCCCCGCCCACCTCACAGGGTGTCTGTTGTGGGGAGGGGAAGGGAAAGGAGTTTGTGAGCTGCTCTGAGACTCCAAGTGAAGGACAGGGTATAAATCCAATCTCTTCTTCTTCTTCTTTTTCAGTGGCTGCCCCACGCCTTGGCGGCAGCCTCCCAAAACAGGTCAGGAGGGATCCTCGGCTCCTGGTGTTGCAAGTGAGGCTACACTGCAATGTTTCCAGGGAACTTTTGGGGGCAGTCAGAGCGTGGGCAGAGGGGGAACAGCCTCCTGGCACAGGAGCATAAGGTGTTTTCAGATTGGCTTCTGACGCTGGTTGTCATAAACGGCGTAATGTCGTCTTATGGCGTTCTTGTTACCCGCCACGACCCCTGGGAGAATCACAGAAATAAATGGTTCTACTTGCAAAGATGATGATGCGCTAGCAATGTAAGATGGAGCCACTCCCCATCCTTAATAAGCCCCCATGCTCGGCAGTGTCCAATCTGTATATGAATTGCGACTCAGCAGACTCATGCTGGAGCCACACCCATTTAGAATTTTTGCTAACCTCTGGCAACCTGTGACTGACAGTCCCAGGGTGGCTGACACACTCCCCCTCTTTGGTTTCTCTTTTCATTTTTTTAAAGTTTCACTGGCCTCCCTGTAATCTCTTGAATACAGACTGCCCAGCGTGACCACTCTAAACGGCAGAAGAGCACCGCTGGCCCATGAAAAACATACATCCTTTCACTTTGCTTCCTGGCTGCTTTTCCCGTTACATACATACACACACATGTGAGCATGCACACACAGAGAACTGCAATGTGCCAAGACGCAGCTGAGAGTCTATCACTGGCTGTAACGACCGATGGATTTTAACGGTTTCATTTCCTGATTTGCGTGCTGGCTTCATGGATCCACTGGAGTAAATGAAGCGCTTGGACTTTGACACTTCCAAACGATCTGAAGCACTAACTTTTGTATCGTTCCGTTACCGGTTTCATTGATTTATTTGGCTGTCCCTGTGTTGGATTCAATGACAAGGCCATTTAGGGGCGGGCATCCCGAGGGAGAGGGGGACACTGTGAGAAAGCCTCTCATCGGGGACCGTTCCAGTCTGGGGCGAGACCCCTCCTGGCGATACGGATGAGCCCACTGCACTGTTGATTCGGGGAGGAATAAAATTAATGTTTCGTTTGCAGGCTCAGACGCCATAGAGATAAGAAGTTTAAAAGTCCGGAGAAGACGGGGTAGCTAAGGCAAGAGGAGTTTCGTGTTAGCCTGACTCTTGGCAGGGAAGGGAGCTCGTGGACTGCATGTCGGCTGCCACCATCTCAGAGCAGGGTCAGCATCTGGGCACCAGGCCCGCTTCTGGAGTCTGGAAAGCGTCCGCAAACAGCCCAAATTTGCTTACGTGAAAGCCGTTTTTTTAAAACGGGGCCATCGATCAACTCGGGCACCACTGCAGCTTCGGAGTGGCTTCCAACACGGAACTAAGACTCCCGTTCAAAACAAGCAATCCAGATGTGTAGGAGGAACACAGGCGAGGAGGCGCACCCCGGGATGCCTGCCGTCTCCCAAAGGCAGTGGGCAAGTCTTAGCTTCCCAGACCCGAGAACTGCACTTCCAGGTGCCCAGGAAAACCTGCTGACTCCAGGGAACTTCTGGTCTGTATCGATCCCCTGAGTTTGCAAGCAAGACGACGCACCGACGTTCCAGTCGGCCTCACTTACCACGGGCTGGTCTTCCTTAGCGACGCTGTCTTCATACTCCGCTTCCCTTTGCTGCAGACAAAAACAAGACAGCCTGTAAGCATCAGGCAGGTCCAGTCCGAGAGGCGGCTCCTCCAGGTTCAGAACACCCACAAGGACACGTTCCCCGGAACATCTCCCCTCCCCACAAGCTCAGAGATCTTTGGGTGAATCCTTTGGTGCTCCCACCTATGCAGGAGAGACCTGTGCAGGCCTGTAGCTAGGATTGGGGGGGGGGGGTTTAAATGTTTAAAGGTAAAGGTTCCCTTGCTCGAAAGCCAGTCGAGTCCGACTCTAGGGTTGGGGTGCTCATCTCTGTTTCAAAGCCGAAGAGCCAGCGCTGTCCGAAGACGTTTCCGTGGTCATGTGGCCGGCATGACTAAACACCAAGGCGCAGGGAACGCTGTTACCTTCCCACCGAAGTGGTACCTATTTATCTACTTGCAATTTCTTGCTTTCGAACTACTAGGTTGGCAGGAGCTAGAACTAGAGACGGGAGCTCACTCCGTCTTGCGGCACCTGGGTCTCGAACTGCTGAACTACTGACCTTCCGCAGCCTGCAGTTCAGCGTCTTAACCACTTGAGCCACCGCAGCTCCTTTTAAATGTTTAAAGGGGGCTTAAACTTAAATTCATTTGGAAGCAATTTCCCCACTCGCTCTAAAGCCCCCCCCCCCCTCCGGGCCCAGGGTTGTAACTGAATTACATGCGGCAGATCTGGTTCTCCTCCCCTTCCCAACCGAATTGCTCACGACCCAGTGGCTGTCTAAACCCAACTTCTGAACCTGCCAAAGCGGCGCAGGGCAGCCTCGGACGGGGGTGTTTTCCCTGGCCAGCTCTGATGGCTCTGTGCAATGGCGCTGGCGGGAGGGACGGCAAGGCAAGAGAGAGAAGGTGACGGCAGGCAGGCAGGCGGCAAAAAGGAGCCTTCTCAGCAAAGGGCAGGAAGCGGCAGTGGGCCAGGGTTTGTTGTTGGCGCAGTGCAGGAGCGCGCGCCTTTAAAAAAAACTTAAGACAATGTTGGGGAAAAACTTTTTGGGGAGAAAATCCTGCGGGGCTGTGGCTTTAAGAAAGAGGGCGGAGCCCTGAATAGCCCCATCGTAGCTACGGCCCGGGCCTGTGGTGTTGAGGAACAGGATCCGGCCTGTGGCGGCCACAGTCTCTACCTGTGGCGAGCAACTCACCAAGCTTAAGAAATTGGCTAACAACCTTCCTCATTCAAGCAAGGCATGTGACTGAATGGCTAAGGCTGCGGCTGGGCTTGGTTTGTTTCTGCTGTTCTTGTCAGAAATTTTTAATTTTTTAATCACCTCAGTCTGTCATTCCACACAATACAAAGCAAAGGGTATCACTGCCAAGGCCTTAAAACTGACAGAACCCCCGAATGATTTCAAGTCAGCAGTCTCGTTGAGACTAAAAATCAAGGCATTTGGGTTGGCAGCGCCTGGACCTGCTGAAAGACTGCCTCACGAGCATGACACCATGTATAACTTATGGATCAAAAGACTACCACACAAAGAAATCCCTACAAAGAAAAGGACTGTGTAACTTAGAAAGCTGACTGCTACGAGTCTGTGATATCGTGGGACTTGGATGTCGAAAGAGCCGACTAGCATTTCCCTCATCAGTTTCTAAGATTTCTGAAGAGGTGGCTTTAAAAGAGGGTTAGACAGATGACTGGAGGAGAGGTCCATCAAAGGCTGCCCTGGTGACTGAAGAACACCACCCAGTCCTGAGGCAATCAACCTCTCAGGAGGCAACATCAGGGGAAGGCCTCAGCCTCCATATGCCCTGGTCGTTGGCGCTCCAGAGCAACTGGTTGGCCTCTGGATGAAATCGGATGCTGGCCTAGATGGACTACTGGTCTGATCCAGTAATCTTAATTCTTAATGTCCTTATTTAAACAAGTTCAACTAGGAATTTAAACAAGTTCAACCAGGAAGCCTGAAGGCCCTAAACATTAAGAGCATCCCTTTGCACCAGTTAGCTTGTTTGTCACTGGTAGGATGTATAGCTGCTTTATTTTTTCTAAAGGGATACCCCCAGTATACCCAACAGCTGGCCCCTGTACATAGCCAGCTCCAGATAAGACAGTTTGCTATGAAACATCAATGGAAGACTTCGCGGAACTACGAGGCAAACAAACAAGGGGTTTTCAAAAGTACACGGACCTACAAGACATAGATGGGTGAGGGGGGGTGGACTAGAATCTGAGTTCCTCTCAAGTTTAAGAAGACAGCAAGCCCAGGGTGGATCCCGTTTGTGCTCAAAGGTGGCAGCTCTTACCATCTCCCTCTCCTCCTCTAGGACAAGCGGCTCCCTGGTCCTTTCCCAGAGACGCAGCGACTTATCGTGAGAGGACGACACGACGTAGTCTCCGTTGGGACTGAGCGCCAAGCACCAAACTTCCTGGTGGTGGCCCTGCAAATCAGACATACGGAATGACAGTCAGAGACAGGGAAGGGGAGCGCCCCCCACCCACAAAGCGTGGTCACCCGACCACAAAGACCACCGCACTGCCGCTTTACCTCCAGGGTCTGGACGTGCTCGAACTTATCGGCATCCCACTGTTTAATCTTGCGGTCCTTCCCTGCCGTGAAGAACAGGTGGGACTTGGGGACAAACTGGAGGTACATCACGCTAAAGAACGAGAGAATGAGGGTTTTGTTAAAACGGAAGGGGGAAGACTCGGATCGCCACCATTGCCAAAGAAACACTGCGGCCTCTTGACACGATTCTTCCCGGCCGTCATAGCAGGGGAGGAAGACACAGAACGTTTGGTCCACTGATATTTTTTCAGGACGTTTCTGCATCCTCTGGGTCTTCCTCAAGGTACCCAGACGTGTCGTTTCAGGTTTCACGTAAATACAGGTCCAAAGCGCAACCACGCCACAGGGTCTTAATGCTCAAGTTTGGTTGCAGTGGTTAAGAGCGTGGACTTTAATCTGGGAGAGCTGGGTTTGATTCCCCACTCCTCCACAGGCAGCTGCTGGTGTGGCCTTGGGTCAGTCATGGCATTCTCAGAGCTGTTCTCTCAAGGGCAGTCCTCGAAAGAGCTCTCTCAGCCTCACCTCCCTCACAGGGTGTCTGTTATGGGGAGGGGAAGGGAAAGGAGCTTGCAAGCCGCTCTGAGGCTCCGAGTGAAGGGAGGAGTATAAATCCAGTCTCCTCCTCCTCTTCTTCTCAAGGGTAGACAAAGAGAACACACTTCCATTAGTGCAGGGGTGGCCAAACTGTGTGGCTCCTGGCAGGGCAGCTGGGGAAGCGAAGGGGAGGCAGACGTTTTCTCCCCCCCCTCCCATCAATTTGCTTTCTTTGTCTCCCTCTCTCTCTCTTTCCAACTCTTTCATTCTTTCTTTCAACTGCTCTCTCTCTTTCTCTCTCTCTCTCTTAGACAAATAATTATCATTAGCAAACAAATAAATATAATTGGACAGATAAATATCATTATCAATATCTGTTTTTACCCCTTTTATTTTTGGCAGTCTCATTTAACATGAATAAAAAGCAAATGTTCATATTTTAAAATAACAACAGGTCCTATTTGTTCATGTCTTGTGGCTCTCAAACATCTGACGTTTATTAGATCTGGCTCTTAAGCTGAGCAAGTTTGGCCATCCCTGCATTAGTGCAACCCCAAGGGGCACTGCAAAAAGCACTGCTTGGGGCCAGCACCATGCAGGATGGGTGCATTCCAAGCACATACAGTGGAAATGCAGATTTTGACAGCCAGGTACGGAATTCAACCTGCTGAGACAGACGGGTTTTGTTAAAAAAAATATATATGCCCCGTTCCAGAGCTCACTGATACACATTTTTCCCAGGAAAGGAAAGCCCTGCCCCCTTCATGGGCACATGAGGCCAACGGTCTTGTCCAAAAGGCCTGTTATAGCTGCACCACTGGTGCCTGTGAGCAAGCAGAGCCCCTCCAATACATCAAGCAGCCGCTTGGGGGCTCGGCTGGAGAACCCCACAGCTGCCTTGGAGGTATCAGACACAGAGTCTCACAAGCCTTCCCGCGCTCTAGTTGGATGGGCACCCCTCTCTCAAGAGCGTGGGCGGCAGAGGCAAGTCCGGATGGCTGCCGTCATTCATCTGGTTTGGAAAGGGGCTTGAAGTTTATACCCTCCCTACAAAGCTGTAGGAGCTAGGGTGGCTCAAGTGGTTGAGACACTGAACTGCAGGCTGTGGAAGGTCGGTAGTTCAGCAGTTTGGGACCCGGGTGCCGCAAGACGAAGTAAGCGTCTCTAGTTCCAGCTCCTGCCAACCTAGCAGTTCGAAAGCAAGAAATTGCAAGTAGATAAATAGGTACCACTTCGGTGGGAAGGTAACAGCGTTCCGTGCGCCTTGGTGTTTAGTCATGCCGGCCACATGACCACGGAAACGTCTTCGGACAGCGCTGGCGCTTCGGCTTTGAAACGGAGATGAGCACAGCAACCCTAGAGTCGGACTCGACTGGCTTTCGAGCAAGGGAACCTTTACCTTTACCTGACATATTTATTGCTTTACAATGGTTGACCCTATAACCTTAACTTGTTATTTAGTGTCACTTTGCATATCTTGATCCTCATCATGTTACATGATAGTTTGCTGTTCATTCTCTGGCTACAAGTTTGAACCTTGCCTGTCATTCTAACGTATTTGATAAAGTGTGCCTTGCACACGAAAGCTCGTACCTTGAGTAAACCTTTGTTGGTCTACTTGCAATTTCTTGCTTTCGAACTGCTAGGTTGGCAGGAGCTGGAACTAGAGACGGGAGCTCACTCCATCATGCGGCACACTCGGGTCTCGAACTGCTGAACTACCGACCTTCCACAGCCTGCAGTTCAGTGTCTTAACCACTTGAGCCACCGCAGTTCAAACTAGCAGATAAATGTCTAAAGGTGTCTTTTCTAATTGTGGGAAGTGTCTGGGAATCTTCATTCTGTCAGGCTTCGAAGGCACTTAACACTACACACACACACATGCCAAAAAAAATGCTGGGGCTGAGAGAGCTCTTAGGGAACTGCTCTTGACAGAACAGCTCTCTGAGAGAACTTGTAACTGACCCAAGGCCACACCAGCAGCTGCACGTGGAAGAGTGGGGAATCAAACCCGGTTCTCCCAGATTAGAGTCCGCGCTCCCAACCACTACACCACACTGGCTCTGAAGGAACAACCTGAGGGAATGGTTGCCATGGAAGCCGCGTGGGCAAGAGTTGACAAAGTGTGGTTGGTCCTAGAAGGTGTCTTGCTTCTCCCTCAGAAGTGGGTTGAAAGGCTGGGGACTGCACAGAGGGTGGCCAACTTTTCTCGGTAGTCCCAGAACCATTTCCGTAGGGGAAGATCCCACACCAACTTAAGCCAGCCGTTTTTCGGAGGCCCGCCTACCTGTCGTCGTGAGCAAAGAGAGACCGGTGACAGTCACCAAAATCCAAGCCCCAGATCTTCACATTTCGGTCAGCAGAGCCGGTGGCGATCAGTGCCCCATCCTGCAACACGGCAAAGCGAGAGAAAGAAACTCAAGATACCAGAGGGACAGAACGGAGGCCCCTTTGCTTCCAACTGCAACCGACCAAGTCAAAACCGCCCCACCATTCTTTTCTGGAACAGGTCAGGACCCGACCCTGGACAACACTCCGGAAGGATGTGGGCAAAATAGACAGGGTGCAGAAGAGAGCGACGAGGATGATCAGGGGTCTAGAAACTTAGCCCTACGAGGACAGGCTAGGGGCCTTGGGAATGTTTAGCTTGGAGAAGAGGAGATTGAGGGGGGACATGATTACTCTCTTTCAATATCTGAAAGGCTGTCATTTGGCGGAGGGCAAGGAGCTGTTCCAGTCGGCAGCAGAGGAGAGGGCCCGAAGCAACGGGTTTAAACTACATGCAGAAAGGTATCGGCTGGATATCAGGAAAACACTTTTTCACCGTCAGAGTGGTTCAAAGGTGGAATCAGCTGCCCAGGGAGGTGGTGAGCTCCCCTTCACTGGCAGCTTTCAAGAAGAGGCCGGACGAATATTTGTCAGAGATGCTTTAGGCTGGTCCTACATTGGGCAGGGGGTCGGACTAGATGGCCTGTATGGCCCCTTCCGACTCTATGATTCTATGGGAGGGAGAAAGTCCCCCACTCTCCAAACCAGACAGCCAACCTTCCCATGTCTTTCGTGAGCCCAGTAAGGACATTTCTGGACACCACTGCGGGAGGGTCAACAAACGAGCCGAGGGAACTAAAAGCTCTGCATTCTCAGTCTCCGCCGTTCATGATAGCGAGACACCCAATCAGTGTCACGATCACAACAGGCCCTGACCTGGATAGCCCAGGCAAGCCTGGTCTCGTCGGATCTCCAAAGCGAAGCAGGGCCGACCCCGGCAAGTACGTGGGTGGGAGACCTGCAAGGAATATCAGGGCTGGGATGCAGAGGCAGGCAAATGGCAAGCCACCTCTCTGAAATGTCCAAACCCCACTAGGGGCTGCCAGAAGTCACCATGAGTTCCAGGCAAGCACACAAACACACACACACACACGCACATTTTTTAAAAAAGATCACAACAAACAGCAGAAAAATGGAGGAGGAACCGCAATATGCGGTTGTGCTATTTTACTTCATTCGTATCCTGCTTTTGTCCCCAGTGGGTAACTAAAGCAGCTGACATCATTCGCCTTCCTGCCTTTCTCTTCACAACAGCCCTGCGAGGTAGGGAAGACTGAGAGAGTGACTGGCCCAAGGTCACCCAGCGAGCTTCCCTGGCGCCTTTGACCCTGGGTCCCCCAGATCCTAGTTAGATACCCTAACCACAACACACCAACCCCGATTCTCCCGTTTACTATCTGAAATGTGACCGTTGCTAACAACAGCACGCCTTTAGGAATGCCAAAAGAGCAAGGGGAACACGAGACTGAGAAATTATCTGTCTTCAGTTACTAGTGCTGAAGCCTTAGATGGAGTTAAGGGCAAGCTGCGTTTCTGGTAGCAATCGTTCAGCATTTGAGTTACTCTTAATGGATTTCTATTCCTCATGAGTTACCTTGGGTGCTTGGGAAATGAAAAAAAGGTGCCAGGTGGTTAAGAGTAAATTTTTGCACCGGAAAAGCAGCAGTAAGAAGAAAGACTAAGCCGGTGCCCCCCCCCCCTTCATAACCCCTCCCCTTTGAATGGGCAGCCATGACAGATTTAGCCTGTGCTTTTGCAGAGAACTTGCAGCTGAACCTTCAGGCTAACGAGCCAGCCGCCGAGGACGGGAATGGCTGGCTTTTGTGCTTCCCTGCCTTTTTTGACATTTCAAAAGCCTTCCGTTCTCAATAAGGCCCGTGAGAGGTTCCAAGGACCTGGGAAATCATACTTAACGTCATAGACGTAACAGTTTATATGACTGCATGTTCAGGCCCGGATGGCCCAAGCCAGCCAGATCTCGTCAGATCTCAGCAGCTGGTGAATCCTTAGGTGGGTGACCACCGAGAAGGACCGGGGCTGCCATGCAGAGGAAAGCGATGGCAAACCACGTCTCTCGGTCTCTTGCCTTAAAAACCCCACGAGGGGCTGCTGTCAGTCAGCTGCAGCTTGAGGGCACTTTACACTTTTGTTGTTGTTCAGTCGCACAATTGAGCCCGACTCTTCGCGACCCCATGGACCAGATTCTGCCAGGCCCTCCTGTCTTCCGCCATCCTCTGAGGTTTGCTCAGTTTCATGTTCGTTGCATCTATGACACTGTCTAACCATCTCACCCTTTGCCGTCCCCGTCTTCTTTGACCTTCAGTCTTTCCCAGCATCAGGGTCTTCTCCAGTGAGTGCTCCCTTCTCACTTGGTGGCCAAAGTATTTGAGCTTCAGTTTCATTATCTGGCCTTCCAGGGAACAGTCAGGGTTGATTTCCTTTAGGATTTATATTGTCGAAGGCTTTCACAGTCAGAGTGCATTAGCTGCTGTAGATTTTCTTTTTTTCCCTCTTTTTTTTTGAGCCCCCGGAGGGGATTTTTTATTACATTTTTTTCAAACTAAAAAACTATCACAGAAAAAGGGAAGGGGGACTACATATACGGGAGAAAGTATAGAAACCCGCTACTGACTAAAAACCCAAGAGAGGAGATCCTCACTAGCTTCATTACATCAAGTCTTCACTTCACAATATAAACTGAGTCAGACATTTAAGTACTTTTTCCTTTTCATTAACTCTTCAAACTTAACTGTCTAAGAACAGTGGCCCCCCCCAGTCATCCCCATTCACAGTTCTCAAAGGCACAATTGTGCCACTGAGCTGCTGTAGATTTTCCAGGTTGTGTGGCCGTGGCCTTGACATTGTAGAACCTGATGTTTCGCCAGTAGCTGTGATTGGCATCTTTTGGGATTGACTGATTCGATCTCCTTGCAGTCCAAGGGACTCTCACTTTACACACACTATTTTGTTGTGTTTTTTCCTGCCATCCAGTCAAGCTGATTTCTGGCTACCCCTAGTGGGGCTTGAAGGCAAGGGACGTTTCAGAGGGGGCTTGCCATTGCCTGCCTCTGCTTCATGACCCTGGTATTCCTTGGAGGTCTCCCAGCCAAATACTAGCCGGCCCTGCTTAGCTTCTGAGATCTGACGAGGTTGGGCTTGCCTGGGCTATCCAAGTCAGGGCTACACACACACACGCACTACTGAATGTGAGTGTTCAGCAGGGAACACAGAAACCATGCGGCTCTCTTGTTATGGCCACTGCAGAGAAGGGTCTCCACAAGTCACAGCCAGAGTACCACTGGTTTACTTCATTTATACTCCTGCCTCTCTCCCCAATAGGGACCCAAGATGGCCTACATCATTCTCCTCCCCTACCCTTTAGCCTCACAACATCTGCTTTGCTGCCCGTAACACCGACTGCTGGACCAGGAGGAGCTCCGCAACATGATACTCGGCTAGCGACGCCCGCCATACTCACGTAGGAGATGTCCATGCATAACACGGGCAGCTTGTGTCCATACAGAGACAGGAAAAACTGGAAGACAAAAAGGTCAAGGGGAAAGAGAGACGAACTTCAGCTCAATACAAAGAGGGAGCGTAGAAGCACGGAAAGTCCACACGGTCTTTCCACAATCCTTCCGCCACGTAGAGCTGTCGCCCCTCCAGACACCACACAGGACTGATTGCAGAACTCAGTTGTATTCACTGAAGGCACCCAGAGACTTTACTGCAAACTCTGCAGAGCAACAGCTGTGAAGCAATGGAGGGACCCTGACACCCAGAGACAGCCGCCGAGCCAAGGGAGTGAACGAGTCACCCCCAGGTTGGCTCAGGCCGCACAGAGAGAGAGCAGATCCTCCTCACAGGGAACTCGTCACCCGGCAAATGCTTCAGGTGCACCTGCATCCCCTCCCCCCCTTCTCCGAGAACTCAGGGCGGTTAAAGTGATTCTCCTCTCCTCTCTTTTTAATCTGACAACCCAATGAGGTAGGTTACGCAGACAATGAGTGGACTGGTCACCCAGTGGGATTCGTGGTTGAGCACTTGAACCTGGGTCTTTCTAGCCTGGCACTCTAACCCAGGGAGGCCAACGGGGGTGGGGGGCAATAGTCGTGGGGCCCCGACCCTCTCACACACACGCCCCCTTCTGCTCCCTCAGCACCAAGCAGCTGACAGGACAAGGATGCGCCTCGACTCAAGAGCTGGCCGGCGACCCCCCCCCCCCGGCTCCATCAGCTGTTTGGACTCTGGGGGGAGGAACTAGAGGACATCCAGTGAAGCTGATGGGCAGTAGATTAAAGATGGACAAAAGGAAATACTACTTTCCACAGAGAAGGATTGAAACGTGGAATTCACTTCCAGGGGATGTAGTGATGGCCACAGGAATAAACCACTTTAAGAGGGGATTAGACAGATTCATGGAGGATAGGTGTTATCAGTGGCTATTATTATCAGTGGCTTGGTGTCTGAGAGGAGCCTCCACATTCAGAGGCACCAAACCTCTGAATCCCAGAGCCAGGAGGCAACATCAGGGGAAGGCCTGGGCCTCTATGCCCTGTTGTTGACCGTCCAGAGGAACTGGTTGGCCACTGCGTGAGACAAGAGGCTGGACTAGATGGACCCTCACTGGTCTGATCCTGCAGGGCTCTTCTGAGGTTCTTATCAGGGGAAGGCCTTGGCCTCTCTGCCCTGTTGTTGGCTCTCCAGAGGAACTGGTTGGCCACTGCATGAGACAGGAGGCTGGACTAGATGGACCCTCACTGGTCTGATCCAGCAGGGCTCATCTGAGGTTCTTATCAGGGGAAGGCCTTGGCCTCTCTGCCCTGTTGTTGGCCCTCCAGAGGAGCTGGCTGGCCCCTGCATGAGACAGGAGGCTGGACTAGATGGACCCTCACTGGTCTGATCCAGCAGGGCTCTTGAGGTTCTTATCAGGGGAAGGCCTCGGCCTCTTTGCCCTGTTGTTGGCCCTCCGGAGGAACTGGTTGGCCACTGCAGGAGACAGGAGGCTGGACTAGATGGAGCCTCACTGGTCTGATCCAGCAGGGCTCATCTGAGGTTCTTATCAGGGGAAGGCCTCGGCCTCTCTACCCTGTTGTTGGCCCTCCAGAGGAACTGGTTGGCCACTGCAGGAGACAGGAGGCTGGACTAGATGGACCCTCACTGGTCTGATCCAGCAGGGCTCAGAAGAGAACCTCAGTTCTTATCAGGGCAAGGTCTCGGCCTCTCTGCCCTGTTGTTGGCCCTCCAGAGGAACTGGTTAGCCACTGTGTGCAACAGAATACTGGACTAGATGGACGCCTGGTCTGATCCAGCAGGGCTCTTCTTATGTTCTTCAGCACATGAACACATGAAGCTGCAAAAACCAGACTGTTGGTTCACCACAGTCAATACTATCTTACTCCAACTGGCAGTAGCTCTTCTCAGGTAGGGGTCTTTTGCATTGCTTGCTACCTGCCTACGTCTCACTGGAGATGCTGAGGACTGAACCTGGGACCCTCTGCATGACAAGCGCCCAAGCAGACGTTGGCTACCTTGAGTGTGTCAGTGTAGAATATCTTCACGGTGCAGTCCAGCAAGGCAACGGCTAGAAGTTTCTGGTTGGGGCTGTAGCGGACACAGAGGACGTCTTCATCCAGTTGCAAGATGCGTGTTTGCTTGACGGACAGCCTATAGGGTGGGGAAAAGGGAACACCGATGGCACTGTCATCGCACTGCAGGCTGGCAGTGATTCAGGAGACCTGCGCTGCTTAGTCTTAGGCAAGGCGCTTCCAAATGCAAATTGTGTGATGCCTCGGCATGACCCTTCTCCCATTCCCCACAGCCTCCCTATCCGCGCCATGGAACCCAGCACGATCTGGACCTCAACTGGTCCCTCCTCCCACCCGACCAATTGTGTTGTCGTTTCAGGAAGGCAAAGCACATTCGGTTTCCTTCAGGTTTATTTATTTCCTTCCTTCGATTTGTATCCCACCCTCCCCGCAAGGCAGGCTCAGGGTGGGTTCCAACTTACTATAATCTGCCGAGTGCAGGCTCACAACATACAAAACAAAATGACAACATGCACACAATAAATACAATAAAATAAGTACAACACTAAGTAAAGGTAAAGGTTCCCTTGCTCGAAAGCCAGTCGAGTCCGACTCTAGGGTTGCGGTGCTCATCTCCGTTTCAAAGCCGAAGAGCCAGCGCTGTCCGAAGACGTTTCCGTGGTCATGTGGCCGGCATGACTAAACACCAAGGCGCACGGAACGCTGTTCCCTTCCCACCGAAGTTGTACCTATTTATCTACTTGCAATTTCTGGCTTTCGAACTGCTAGGTTGGCAGGAGCTGGAACTAGAGACGGGAGCTCACTCTGTCATGCGGCACACTCGGGTCTCGAACTGCTAAACTACCAACCTTCCACAGCCTGCAGTTCAGCGTCTTAACCACTTGAGCCACCACAGCTCCACTAAGTACTTTAAAATAAATTAGACCTCAACGGACACTTAAGAGCAACTTGTTTGGGGTGGGGTGGGGAGGCCAGACAATCTGATACCCGCTCCCTCAACTGAAGGCCTGGCGGAAGAGCTCCGTCTTGCAGGCCCTGCGGAACTGTAAAAAGCTCTCGCTTTTCTGCATGTTTTGAACACCCATCAGGATTCCGGCCCGCACGCACAGGGATCCTCAGTCACTATCAACTGTTGCTCTGGGCTAAGAAATATAAAGCCCAAAATACAGACACAGCGAACTTTCTGGGGCTGGGAACACACAATGGCTGGCAGTCGGAGACGATGCACGCGTCTGCATTCATCTATGTCCTGCTTTTCTCCCCCGTTTGGATTCAAAGCACCTTTTCTAACATCGTTCTCTGCTCCTTTATTTTCCCACAACAGCCCTATGAAGTAGGCCGGGCTGAGCGTTTGTGACTGGCCCAAGGTCACCCAGAGGGCTTCCATGGCAGAAACGGGGATTCGAGCCTGGTTGCCCAGAGTCCTAGTCAGCCGCTCGATCCCCTACTCCACAAGGACAGATTTTGACAAATGAAGAGTAGGACACAAAGGCAAGTTTAAGCTATGTAATCAAAAAGACATCTGCGCATGTCTAAAAGTTGTTTCCTGCACTGTATAAAGAGTTACTGCTGATGCCTTGCTAACGGCTTCCTCGGGTTTCTGCTGCCGAGGACCCCTTTATTGCAATAAAGTTCTGCCTGCCTCTGGAAATCTCACTGGCTGTGTTCCTCATTGGGTGTTGGCACACCAGGCAAAGGGCCCCATTCGGGCATCAGATCCACTTGCCTACGGATGTCACTGGAGAACTCGAAGAGGAATGACAAAGAAAGCGGCCTCAAGCTCAGTGTCATGAGGTTCAGGTTCTGGCAGACAATACGGAACCAGCCGGACTAACACTGTAGGGCAGCACCACACATAGTTTTTGGAAAACAAGCTATGCAGTTCATAATTATGTAAAGACAGTGGGGTCGTGAAGGGACTGATTCTCAGAAATTCGAGCTCTCTATGGCCTATGATCTTCTCTTCGCTTCCGCAGAGCACCAGTAAAAACATTTGTTTAATACAAAGGCAAGTAGGAAAAAAAATAGTGGCGAGGACAGGACCCCAGGAGAAATATAAAAACTAGTAAACCAGGGCTCTTTTTGTAGCAGGAACTCCTTTGCATATTAGGTGACACACCCCTAATGTAGCCAATCCTCCAAGAGCTTACAGAGCTCTTCTTACAGGGGCCACTGTAAGCTCTTGGAGGATAGGCTACATTAGGGGTGTGTGGCCTAATATGCAAATGAGTACCTGCTACAAAAAGAGCCCTAAAATCAGTACTTAAGGGACAGCCATTAAGAGATCCGCGAGATTCATTTTGCACAGCAAAGAGCTCCAAAGAGAACGCCTTTTCCCATTTTGTCGCAAAGGGAAAGATTAAAGAGCGCATGTCATGTGCACCTCTGACATCGCAAATGCGAGAAAACCACCACCCCCCTCCTGCCCCGCATCGCAGGTTTGGCTGCACAGCTGTGGGAACCCTGCTTCCATGCTCTCTCCCGCCACGCGGGCATCCTCACCTCTTCTGGACAGTGTTCTCGTCCTTCACCAGCTCAAACTCCCAGAACTTGACACATTTATCTGCGCCGCCCGTCACGAAGCCACGCTGAAGGAGAACAAGGTTGAGAGTGAAGCGAAGCCGGGTCACTTGCTTTGCATGTTAACCCCCCCCCCCTTCAGAGGTGTTCAAACACCTTCCCTCTCAAGGGCAGGCGTCAACGTGCTTAAGCTCTTGGGTGGAAGACGTCCCTCCCTCAAGGACTGGGGTTCCATCGCAGGGCAGGAGTCACCGTTCCCCTGCCCCCTTTGCAGCTCCCCCCCTTCCACTGTCTCCTTCCCCCAAAACACTGCTGACTTCAGAAGCACACGGGACTATGGAGGCAAACGGCAGCAGAATCTGTGGGGTGGGCGGGCCGTTTTAAATTCATTTCCAGCCAAGAAAGGTCTCCAATGAAAGCTAAAATGGTGAATGTTCTATATTCTCACCTATACAGTCATCCCATCAGGGAGGTGAGATTCAAGTACCACGTGGACAGTCACTATTGCAATTGCGATATTCTGATCCTGCCCTTCATTTGAATAGCTCAGAACAGCGTACAGAACAGAAGAAGAAGAGACTGGATTTATACCCCGCCCTTCACTACCCAAAGGTGTCTCAGAGTGGCTTACAAACTCCTTTCCCTGCCCCTCCCCACAACAGACACCCTGTGAGGTAAAAGAAGAAGAAGAAGAGATTGGATTTATACTCTGCCCTTCACTACCCGAAGGTGTCTCAGAGCGGCTTACAAACTCCTTTCTCTTCCCCTCCCCACAACAGACACCCTGTGAGGTAAAAGAAGAAGAAGAAGAAGAGATTGGATTTATACCCTGCCCTTCACTACCCAAAGGTGTCTCAGAGTGGCTTACAAACTCCTTTCCCTTCCCCTCCCCACAACAGACACCCTGTGAGGTAAAAGAGGAAGAAGAGATAGGATTTATACCCCGCCCTTCACTACCCAAAGGAGTCTCACAGAGGGGCTTACAAACTCCTTTCCCTTCCCCTCCCCACAACAGACACCCTGGGAGGGAGGTGGGGCTGAGAGAACTGCTCTTGAGAGAACAGCTCTGAGAGATTTGTGGCTGACCCAAGGTCACATCAGCAGGTGCAAGTGGAGGAGTGGGGAATCAAACCCGGTTCTCCCAGATTAGAGTCCGTGCACTCAACCACTACACCAAACTGGCACACAGTATCCACCCAACCACTTTTCATCTTCGTGATCAACCTGTGAGGCAGCTTAATCTTGAAGACTGCGTATGACCGGTCAAATGTCACTCAGTAAGATTTATGGCTGGAGCTTATCAAGAGGGTCCAGTGGTCCACTGACCCAGACTGGGGCAGCACAGAGCAATTTGGGAAGAATGATGGCCTTATATGACTTTAACAAAAGTGGGATAAGTCAACCACTTTTTGATATAAAAGAATTTCTGGAGAGTGATTAATGTTGTTTGGGTTTTCCTTATGACAGAATTTATATGGGAATTCCAGGATACATCACGACTCGACGTTAACACCAAGATATTTAAACTGTCTAACTTTGATAGTTTTGCCATGAATCAGCAAAGGGATCTTACTGTCAAGCAAGATTTAAAAGTGCACATGTGATTTAGCCGTATTTATCCACACAGTTACAAATTATTGATAAGGTACATTGATGTATTGGCTTGTAGGCTGCTGAGTTACAGGGAAAGGAAAGGTTTATGACTGAGCCAAAATTGGAACGCTGGGCTTCCCAGTCTTAGACTGTTACTGTACCCCTGAAATGCCTCTAAGCTCTTTAACATCTAAGAACTTCATCAACCCTGGCTAAAGAAGAAAAAGAGACTGGATTTAACCTGCCCTTCACTACCCAAAGGAGTCTCAGAGGGGCTCACAATCTCCTTTCCCTTCCCCACAAGAGACACCCTGTGAGGTTAGGTGGGTTAGGGCTCTGACAGAACAGCTCTGAGAGAACTTGTGACTGACCCAAGGTCACACCAGCAGCTGCACGTGGAGGCGAGGGGCATCAAACCCAGTTCTTCCAGATTAGAGTCCGCTCTCCTAACCACTACACCAAACTGGTGGTACCGCAACAACTGGTACCTCACCAGAAATGGTCCTTGACGATGCCCCACCAGCATCAACAAGATGTCTGCAACGCATCACAAGGAGAGCACTTTGAACAGCAGCACTTTCTCTGGAGAGGGTACCCAAGCGGGTTCAAGGCTGCTCTTTTCTCTCACAGACCACCTTTCCACAGAACCTTCACAGGCTACTTATTTGGCACACTAAAAGAAACTTTCTTCCCTAAGCCGGCCCTCCCCCCACCCTTGACTGAAAAGCCAAATTAAAAGCCTGGCTAGGCTGACGCTCCTTTCCGGAAAATCCAGAGCACGTGTACCCCCACCTCATCCACCCAACTTTGCATCTTCGTGACCACCCTATGGGGCAGGTTACCATAAATCAGCACAACAGCCAACACCTCAGATGGAACGCGCCAAGACTCATGTTGAGGGCCATCCTCCCAAAAAGTCGACCAAACTTTCCCCCTGAAAGAGCAGTCCAAACACAATGGCTGAAGGTGGGCTGGACCTACCTGATCTGAAGAGAGCGAGATGGACCAGAGAGCTCCGTCATGGGCCTCGAGGGCCTCCAGCAACGTCCCCGAAGCCAGGTCATAGAGCTGCAGCTTCCCAGACTAAAGCAAGCAACATAAGGCAAGCGTTCATCTCAAGGACCATCTACAGGACTACACTTACGCAGCATTCCTTCTTTCTTAATGAACCCGTGTGTTGACATTATCTTTCTCCAATTATGTCCAATTACCCAGGTAGATCCAACCAAATTTATACTTTTCTTCTTGCCAATCGTTGTAATTAAACTACCTTTAAGGTAGCTAGATTCTGTGCCTTGACATGCTTAATCAGGCAGAAGAATACAGTCTTGCTTTAACAAATTTTATTCTAGCTTTTGTATATTTTTGTTCAGAATATCCATGACATGCAATTAATTATTTTTTATAAGACAAACAATACAAACAAGCATACATACATACACATTGGGGGATTTCAATACATCATTAGATTTACTATTCAAGGACCTCATACAGTATATTTATCTTCTACATTTCGATTTATATTCTTATATATATCTTCTGCAAATAGTTAAAAGTAAAGAATTCCTGTCATCTTCTAGATTGGCTATAAATCTATATATTTTATTTGATATAGTCTCATCTTTAAAATCTTAACTATGTATTTTCAAAATTTTTGTTCTATCTTCTCTTTTCAACACTTTGTGGCCTTTTGTCGATTATTTCTTATCTTATCACATCTTCTTCAGTATTAATGTCAGTCCAGCTCTTTATACTTTTTTCAGATATTTCAGTTTTTAAAACATTGAGATTTTTAAATTTAATGTCAAAAGTGTCTGTGTTTTGTCGATGGCCTTTGGATTCTGATCTTGGATTGTAATAAACGATTGATTGAATAAAGAAGAAGAAGAGATTGGATTTATACCCCACCCTTCACTCGGAGTCCCAGAGCGGCTGACAAACTCCTTTCCCTTCCCCTCCCCACAACAGACACCCTGTGAGGTGAGTGGGGCTGAGAGAACTCTGACACAAACTGCTCTTTCGGGAACAGCTGTGCCAGAGCTTGTGACTGACTGACCCAAGGTCACATCAGCAGGTGCAAGTGGAGGAGTGGGGAATCAAACCCGGTTCTCCCAGATTAGAGTCCACGCACTTAACCACTACACCAAACTGGCTCTCAACCATGTGAATAGCACTTTCAAAAATGTGAAAAGCCCATCACATAGATATAGCTTGTTGTTACCCTTACAAAAACCTTGTAAGGTATTAAAGAGGGAGGCTGGGGGAGCTATCGTTCAACGCTTAGGCAGTGAGTGGCAAGTGCGGGACACTCTACCTGGGGACATTCCAAAGCAACGAGCGAGGTGCCAGTGCAAGAGCTGTGAGGCAATTTGCCCAGGTAAAGACCCTTCAAACCAGAGAGGGTTTTGCAGCAAGGTCTTTGGAAGGGAGAGTGACTCACCTTGGTTCCCACAATGACCTGGCGATCTCCCGGGACAAAGAGCGAGCAGAGAGCGTATTCACAGGCCATGGTCCGGATGCACTGCAAGGTCGACCTGCAGGAGAAGACGGGGGCACCAGGAAAGGCCACCGGAGAGTCAATATTCACATCCCTTGGAGGCGGGGAACCTCCAGGGAGTGCCTTTCTGAACACGTCCCTACTTTACAACTGGCAGGACAGGCGCACCGGCGACGAGCCCATAACGAGAGGCAGGCCCAGTTTTAATTATCCCAAAGAGTTATGGCATATGCAGGGTTCGAGAAAAAGCCAGCATTAACTGAAACCACCATCCCCGACAGCAAGTGAGAACTGGCCCCTGCGCTTTAACCACTTTAATGCAGACACAAGCTAGCAGAGGAGAGAGGCTGTGGCTCAGTGTCTGAGCATCTGCTTGGCATGCAGAAGATCCCAGGTTCAAGTCCAGTTAAAAGGGTCAGGTAGAAGATGGTGTGGAGACCCTGGAGAGCTACTACCAGGCTGAACAGACAATACTGGCCTGCATGAAACAATGGTCTGATGATGATGATGATTATCATCATCACATGGCCTTATGCGTAGTATAGCCAGGAGATCCTAAGACTGTCTGGCAGCCAGAAGTTCTAGCTCTTCTACGTTATGCATCACGAGGTGGCATGCTAGATTTGTTGTTCGGGCAAGAGACGTTCCAGAGGTGGTTTTGCCACCGTCTGCCTCTGAGTCGCAGCCCTGGTGTTTCTTGGAGGTCGCCCTTCCAAATACTAGCCAGGGCTGACCCTGCTAAGCTTCTGAGATCTGATGGGATCGGGCTAGCCTGGGCCGTCCAGGTCGGGGCAACAATGGTCTGATTCAGTATAAGGCATCTTCATGTGTCCATGGGCAACCCAACCCAGTCCTGGATGCTCGGAGGCTTCAGAGGGTGGGACATCCGCTTGGTTTGCAGAAGGTCCCAGCTTCAATCTCCTGCATCATCAGTTAAAGGACTGGGCAGGAGGTCACCCTGAGTCTGAACGGAAACCTCTCAAGTCCTCCTATCCCCGTCAGAAGAAGGGAGGGATGTTGCGGAGGAGAAAATCAGGATGCAGAGGTACGATGCATATCGGAGTCAGCTTGATTAGAGCAGAGGGGAAATGCCCAGGGGCAGATGATCAGCATATGTGGTGACGCAGTGTTCCCTCTAAGCTGAGTTACTGTGAGCCAGCTCACAGTTTTTTAGCCTCCGGCTCACACATTTTTGTCTTAGCTCAGGGGGGATGGCTCCGGAGCAAACTAATTCATGCAGCGGCCAAATCGCTCGCTCGCCACTTTAATGCTAGCAGCTCACAAAGTAGAATTTTTGCTCACAAGGCTCCGCGGCTTAGAGGGAGCATTGGTGGTGAGATAAGAATCCTAGGTTTCTACTCAGCCTGGCCCGGGGGGGGGGGGCATCCCATTGTACTGAACTTGTGAATTAACTCAAGTTCGGGAATATCACATTGTGATCTTGAAGCTTCCCTGTTTCTTCTTTGCCACATCCCCTCCCACCTTCTGACTGGGACGGAAGGACTCAGAGATTTCCACTCCGACCCACATCTGACGAAGGTAGCTCTGACTCTCAAAAGTTCCTTCCCTGAAAATCTGGTTGGTCTCGAACGCCCTACTGGGCCCATATCAAGATTGTTTCAAGTGGATAACCACGTCAGTCTGCACTGGAAGAGCCGGATTTGAGTCCAGTCGTACCTTACAGACCAACACGATTTCCAGGCCTACAAGGGATGGAGCCTTTCCTTTCACTGCATCCAAGCTTTGGGCTGTACTTCAAAGGGATGGTCCAAGAATAAAATCACTAAACATTACGGAAAACAGAAAAGTTTGTGGTGGACAAACGTAGCCATCGGCAGTGCCCCAAACTCCTGGCTCTACAGGCGGCTATTCCTAGATGACCCTACGATAACCAGCAGCGATGGAAAGGTTCCTTCCAAAGTCAAAACCCTCTGTCGGATTCACGCCACAACCTGTGCTACTTGTGAACTTGTACTGAAACTCGTGTTTCCCTTTTTTCAGAAGGTTCCACACTGGGCACCTCCAGTTAGAAGAATCAGGTGGCAAGCAGCGTTCCCTCTAAGCTGAGTTAGTGTGGGCTAGCTCACAGGTTTTTTTAGCCTCTGGCTCACACATTTTTGTCTTAGCTCAGAAAAGATGGCTCCAGAGCAAACTAATTTACCCTGTTTTCCCGAAAATAAGACCTACCCAAAAAATAAGCCCTAGCAGGATTTCTACGGTATGCATTTGTGGTATAAGCCCTAGTGTGTCTTCTTGAGAAAAAATAAATATAAGACAGTGTCTTGTTTTCGGGGAAACACGGTATGCATTTGTGGTATAAGCCCTAGTGTGTCTTCTTGAGAAAAAATAAATATAAGACAGTGTCTTATTTTCAGGGAAACACGATATGCATTTGTGGTATAAGCCCTAGTGTGTCTTCTTGAGAAAAAATAAATATAAGACAGTGTCTTATTTTCGAGGAAACACGGTATGTGGTAGCCAAATCACTTACTCACAACTTTAATTCCGTTACCTCACAAAATACAATTTTTGCTCACAAGACTCCATAGCTTAGAGGGAGCATTGGTGGCAAGCGATGTGAAAGACCTCGGACCCCGGGGGCAGCTCTTCGTCTGAGCAAACAACATGGAATACGACCAATCAATAGTCTGATTCGGTACAGGGCGGCTTCCGTTACCCCTGGAGAAGGACTTCTCACCTGTTCCAAACCTTAACCGACTCGGCAGAGGCAGAGAGAACGGCTATGTTGTCCGAGCTGAACGCCAGCGTCCGGACATCGCTGCGGTGACCCCCGATGGTTATCTTGGATGTCCGGGCGACTTGGGAGGGCTGCGCTGCCGAGTTCAGGCTGTAAGACTCGACCATGTTGTTCTGGAGCATGACGGCCGCTTTCAGCTCCCCTTTGGGGCTGAGTATCAAGTCGAAAGACCTGTTCAAATAAAAAGCCATGGCGGCAAACATGAAATGGCGTGCAAACGGAATGCAACACAAACATGTCAACTAGAGGATTGAATTAGGCACGGTTGATTGTAATCGTGCAAGAGCCTTAAGCAGACACGGAAAGGACAGGGCATGCACTTCATGCCCTCTGTGCTGATTGGTTCTTCTTCGCAGGCTCTCTGGATAGGTCACCAGCGTGCCCGCAGGCCCAAGGGTCAGGAACCTGCTCAGGGAACAAAGACCTTACTGATCCCTCGAGATGCCAAAAAAGAGCCCACACTTTGGCTTGGGTTTAACTTTGGAGTTGAAGAATCTGAACTCTGTTCACAAAAAAAAAAACCCTGAAAGATCCTTGGCTAATGCAACTGGCCTCTCTGGCCCATCCCTCCCTGCCCCCGGAGATCTTGGAAGCAGCTCAATAGGCCATTGCTAGAGCCGCCAGAAATTCGCTACACACGAGGGGTGTTCCCCACCAACCTTTGTCTTCCAAATCCACTCTGTCGCAAAATACCTGACGGTAGTGATCTCTCTTAGAACGCCGAAGAAACATGCCTGCGTTAGCTATAAATGAAACGATGGCCTAGCCTATATGACCTAATGGGCTCTTAATTTATAATTAAGAAAACGTTTACTCTATTTTACTCATATCAGTTGGAAGAAGAAGAGGAGGAGGAGATTGGATTTATACCCCGCCCTTCACTACCCGAAGGAGTCTCAGAGTGGCTTACAATCTCCTTTCCCTTCCCCTCCCCACAACAGACACCCTGTGAGGTAGGTAGGGGCTGAGAGAGCTCTTTCGAGAACTGCTCTTTTAAGAACAGCTCTGACAGAACTATGGCTTGCTCAAGGCCATCCAGCAGCTGCATGTGGAGGAGTGGGGAATCAAACCTGGTTCTCCCAGATTATAGTCCATGCACTTAACCACTACACTACACCTGCTGGGATATTTTAACTTCTATTTTAATACATATCTAAAGTCTCCTATTTTGTGATATTTGTGACTTTGTGACAGTTCCCGGTGATTATATAATGTATCTTTGGATCTAATTTTAATTGTTTTACACGATATTCTATCTATATACTAATAGCGAAGTTGCCCCCATGAGTGTGGATCGCTAAATCTGCGCTCCGGGGGCACTTGGGGCGGAGGGGGGGGTTTGTGCACACGTGGGGCGGTCCCATGGAAGCTCCTTTGGGTCCCCACTGGGGAGAAAGGGTGGATATAAATGGAAGGACAGAAATAAGAGACCCTCTGTGCTGATTGGTTCTCCAGGCTTGGCACTCACTTGATTTTGGCAGAAGCTTTTAAGTTCACGAGGCGTACGATCTTCTCTTGCAGACTGCACTCCAAACTGCCATCGACTTCCTCCTCCTCTTCCTCCCCCTCGTTTGCTCTTTGCCTAGGGTGGGCAGAAAAAAATCAAACCGCAATCTGGACCAGAAACCAGAAGACAAAAATACATAACAAACAGCACCATCTCACCAGCCGCGGGCCACCCCAGACCCAATTCATCCTCCTTCTGGAGGGTTACCTAGCTCTGTTCCCTCCCGCCCAACCACCAGCCTCTTTTCAGTTCTCTAGAAATTGTTTAGGCAATGAGACTATGGAGACAGATGACCCTCTTTCCTCCTCTCTGCTTCCTGTCTTCCAACGTCCATCAGTGGCTATTAGCCACAACATACAGATGCAACACTATGTCTGGGGGCAGTGATGCTCTGTCTTCTTGGTGCTCGGTGGGGCCACATTGGGAGGGCTTCTGGAGTTCTGGCCCCACTAGTGGATCTCCTGATGGCACCTGGGCTTTGGCCACTGTGTGTCGCAGAGTGTTGGACTGGGTGGGCCGTTTGGCATGATCCAACACGGCTTCTCTTATGTTCTTATTAAAATGTTCAAACCCGTTTCAATAAGCCCAAGCGCATCCTCCGCCCACTCTTCGCCCTTCTCTCCTGCTAGACTACCCTCTGCCTTATCTTGTAGCTCTGTTGCCAAATCAGAGGCCGGCCAGCAGAGATCTACAGTGCAGAGTCCCTCTATAACACTCATAAGAGCTTGGTGTCTAGGTAGGCAGGGAGACTAAGGGGCTTGCAGGCCGGGCACCAAAGGCTGTCAAGCAGCTGTGCTACACAGTCCAAGCAAGAGGCCTCCCCGGTGGAAATCTTCAAAGAGAGGACCACGAAGAACATCTAAGAGGCCACCGATTGCAGCTTAATTTTGTACACTGGTGAGAAGCCTGGGAGAATGGACACAGAGTAATCCAGGCAATGGTCACCTCTAGGCTAGACTACTGTAACTCGCTCTACGTAGGGCTACCCCTTGAGACTGGCCTGGAAAATACAACTGGTACAGAATACAGCGGCACAGGTTCTTACCGGAGCCCCAAGGACATCACACGTTCAACCAGTGCTCTGCCAGCTGCACTGGCTCCAAGTTGAATAATGGATCAAGGTTTGGGTATTAACCTTCAAGGCCCTAAACGGTCTGTGACCAACGTATCTACAGGGCCGCCTCTCCTGGCATACCCCCCAAAGAGCATTACACTCCGGGGAGGAGAACCTACTGGCAATCCCTAGCCCGAAAAACATCCGGCTGTCCTCAACCAGAGCCGGGGCTTTTTTGGCCCTGCCTCCAACCCGGTGGAACTCTCTGCTGAATGACATTCGTGCCCTACACGTTTTTACGACCTAATACAGTTCCGCAGGGCCTGTAAGGCAGAGATGTTCCGGCAGGCCAACGGTTAAGGGCAGCAACAGTTTCCATCTAGCCTGGCACTCCCATCTCTCTCCTTCCCCTAGAGGGGAAGGCTACCATTTGGCCTAATTTTCAGCATCATCTGAAATTGTTCTGTGTGTAGAGCTTATCTGTTGGCCCGTCTTAATGTTCTCCCCTCTGCTATTCTTGAGGGGAGATATAAGCAAATTCCTTATTCAATCAGGTTCTGTGGATGTAATAGAAGTGAAATAGAAACTGTTGAGCACGTACTCTTACACTGGAAATTGTTAAATGACATTAGAGTGGAGTTTATAGAAGCCCCCCTTAGGTTGGTAGCAGGCCAATCGAATAGAATCAAGGTACAATTTCTCTTTGCTTCACGAGATCCGGAGATCATTGAACTGACCGCTAAGTTTCTCCATGGTTTTATAAAACGGAAGAGTGACCCTGATCATATTAATGATTCTTAATTTATAAGTCTAAAAACTTAAGTTTAAAAGTTTAGAATGCCAATTTATTTTATGATTCAGGCATCTTTTGTATGGTCAAATCTAGCTTGTGACAACTTGAGTTAGGCCATACATAGCCACGACTATCTATTTTATAATTTCTTTTGGATTGTATTATTGGGAAATGCTTCTAATATTGTATGCCAATAAAAGGTATTTGAATTTGAATTTTGAAATTGTTCTGTATTTTACTGTTTTAATTGTTCTATTTTAATCTGTAATTGATGCTATTGGAATTGTTGTACGCTGCCCTGAGGTCTGTGCCCAAGGGATGGCAGTCTAGAACTTATAAATAAGTACGGCAACATGGGGAGGAGATTCCTCGTGGACCTGGAAGCTGGCATGAAAGGGGAGGGGATCTGACGGCTTCGGGCCCTCCCTTTGATGACCTGAGCAGGGGGACCAGAAGTAGGGGAAAGGCACTTGCACCAGGATCCGGATACAGTGGCGAGACAACCTGCCTGTTTCTTATGCTGTGATGTAGAGCTGTGTCCATTTGCAAACACCAGGATTGCCACTCAGAGATTCTTACGCTGATCATGAATCTTTGGGAAGGGCTGCCTGCCTCCGGACGCAGGTCAAAGCTTTCACACATTCTTAAACCATCGGAATAGAATGCTAAATAAGCACTTACTTGGCCTTTTTCCTTGCTTTCTTCATTTTCTTCTCCATTTTCTTACGGATCTCTTCCTCGCTAAGAACGCAGAATATTTCCAGGACAGAGTCCGTTCCCTTGGAAGAGATGGAGAGTCGGTTGCCAAGTTAAGAACAAAAGAGAAGCCATGTTGGATCAGGCCAAGGGCCCATCCAGTCCAACACAGTGGCCAGAAATACCGGTGCCATCAGGAGGTCCACCAGTGGGGCCAGGAAACTAGAAGCCCTCCCACGCTTGCCCCACCGAGCACCAAGAATACATAGCATCACTGGCCCCAGGCAGAGTGTTTCATCTATACCTTATGGCTAATAACCACTGATGGACACCTGCTCCATATGTTTATCCAGTCCCCTCTTGGAGCTGTCTATGCTTGTAGCCACCGCCACTACTTGTGGCAGTAAATTCCACGTGTTAAGTTACCTCCGCAGAGCTGTAACGAAGACCCTTTGGGAAGGCCCCAGCCCTCGGTGAACACCAACAGCGGGCAACTTACATGGCAAGCGAGAATCCGCCCCGTCCGGTCAGTGGCGAGAGTCACAACTCGGTCCCTTCCTTCCCGCATAATGGAGCCAGCCTTTGTGCAGCTCAGGATGTGCTAAAGGGGGGGGGGGAGTGGGTAAACAATTATAAGCAAAGCATTTCAAGTAAGCCAGCCAGACAACCCGGCCAAACTAGCAGAACAGCCGCATTCAGGCACCACAGCCCAGGAATCCGGACACCAATGTCTGCTTTCAACAGTGCTTCCAGGCTCTCAGTACTGATGGCCCGGACATTTAAAATGCGCTCTGTCACAAATGAGCAGTAGCAAAACATGTCACGTAGCGTGTGGAAAGGGCCGTGCACCATACAGGAGGGTCCCCGCAGACTTGCGAGAAAGGCGAAGAGAGCACTTTGCAGTATTCAAGGACAAATCTTTAGATGACCAGAACTATATTAATACTGTGTCATATACCGGCCCCTCTCATCTTCTGCAGACCCCACCTGCCAAAGGCTTAACCATTTGTGACTTCTTGACAAGATAGTAATCAGGGCAGGATGCCTGTAAACATATAAAAGTCCTTCTCAAGCGGAAAAAATGGGATTTTTGTTTCTATCATGCTGAGACCCAGTTTCTTTCTTTTTGGGACCCCAATGGCTCTGTGTGTGTGTGTGTGTGTGTGTGTGTGTGTGTGTGTGTGTGTGTGTGAGAGAGAGAGAGGGGGGGGGGCGTGGACATTACCTCCTTGCGCCTTGAGATCCAGTTTGGTGCAGACACATTTTAAAACCTTAATTTTAAACATATTTTGGAAGACAGCACAAACGCTATCCAGCCAAGAATGCGCAGAAAAATACCTCTTCCTGGGTCTCTTCCTGATCAGCTTCAGAAAATTCTTCTAGGCTCTCTGAAGGACCTTTACTTCTCTTGTACTGGGGCTCATGAGGGTCTAGATTCTGTTTATAATACAAAAAAAGCAATAGGATAAAGCACAGCACATTCCGTCTTCCCTGCTGCAAACTCGTTCAATGAGTCACCTGTGCGGGATGGAATCATTCCGCAAATACAGACAGGCGGAGTCAAACTACAGGCCCAGCAGCTGCCTGTCACATCAGCAAAAAGATCTGGAGCTCTGCAGCAGGGCCACTGGGCATAAGAAGAAGAGATTAGATTTATGCCCCACCCTTCACTACCTGGAGGAGTCTCAAAGCATTTTACAATCCCCTTCACTTCCCCTCCCCACAACAGACACCCTGTGGGGTAGGTGGGGCCAAGAGAGCTCTTTCAAGAACTGCTCCTGAGAGAACAGCTCTCAGAGAACTTGTAACTGACCCAAGGTCACACCAGCAACTGCATGTGGAGGAGTGGGGAATCGAATTCGGTTCTCCAAGATTAGAGTCCGCACTCCTAACCACTACACCAAACTGGCCGCACTATCTGCTCGTGATTTACTTTTGGCCAGCTGGTACAGACCTGGCAGCAGTTCATGTGGTGCACAGGGAATTATGGGAGTTGCGCACAGGCCGTACAGCCACCAAGGCATACCTTCCTGCTTCAAAGCCACAGCCAGGCACGATGGAAAATATTGCTCTGGGACCTTTGCAACAACCCCTGATTAACTCCTTAAATTCAACCCCCACAAAATGCCGGGAGCGCCCCTCGTTCTTGTAAGTACAAGAACGCATGACTAATGGCTGACCAAAAAGAGCAAATAATCCAAAGCGAGCTGGTGGCCTCCTCCACCAGTTGAGAGATCAGAGCCCATCTTAGACAGGAAACACAAAACCACCAGTTTTATAGTCCACCATTTGGAACGGGAGGCAGACACAGAAGGACAAAGGAACACCAGCTCTTACTTCCTGGAAATGGTTGATGCTCCAGCCTCTCAGTTCGCTGTCCGCCGACCCTGTGAGAAGAAGCTTCCCTTCCGCAACTAAGGCCAATCCCCACACCTGAACAAGGAGAACAGATCAGAATAAATAAAGACTCCTCAATCCACCCCAGCAACAGTAGCTAAGCAATGACAGAACAAACTGGCTTTTCTGGTTTTCCTCAGATAAATACACACGTCCTCATGTTTAAAACAGGATTTAAGGATCCTCAGACTGTGGAGCTGGGACTGACTGGGGGAGATTTTTGACAGGCCACCTGTGGCTCTTCTGAGCACTGCTCCCCAATGTGGTACCTGGCCCATGTGCCAGGAAAGTGGGCTAGGCTGTTGTCTGATCGAGCTTGTGGCGGACAGGTGATTTACGCCATGGGTGGGACCGGAGGATGGATCGGCTACATGCCTCCCTGAGGTATGCCTCATGCCGAGGATCAGAAGTGAAGGGCCCATCCTCTCCAGCTACACCCCCCCCTTCTCCACAGCCTCTGCACTTTCATCTCAGCACCCCGACAACTGCTTGGATGAGAGAAAGTTGGCCACAGAGAAGAGAGAGAGTAAACCATCACATCAGCCACCCAGGAAATAAGCAACTGGGTCAGAGTAAGGGTATGGGCCATTTCACTCCCCTTTCTCCATGGCCAGCTTGCTCTCCTCCGGCCACCTCGGCCCTCTCACTCCCTCACCCGACCTGCTGTGCCTCACATCAGAGAAGCCCTGCTGGGTCAGACCAGTGAGAGTCCATCTAGTTCAGCCTCCTGTCTCACACAGTGGCCAACCAGTTCCTCTGGAGGGCCAACAACAGGGCAGAGAGGCTGAGGCCATCCCCTGATGTTGCCTCCTCGCTCTGGGATTCACAGCTTTAGTGATACTGAATGTGGAGGGTCCCCTCAGTCACCACAGCTAGTAGCCACTGATCGACTTGTCCTCCATGAATTAGTCTAATCCTCTTTTAAAGTTGTTTATTCTGTGGCCATCACTACATCTGGCAGCGAATGCCACGTTTTAATCCCTCTCTGTGGAAAGCAGTATTTCCTTTTGTCCGTCCTGAACCTCCTGCCCATCAGCTTCATCGGATGCACTCAAGTTCTAGTCTTTTGGGAGGAGGAGGAAAAGTTCTCTCTGTCAGCTCTCTCTGCCCCATGCACGAACCTCTACCATGTGGAAGACAGAGCTGGAAGACAGAGAGGGAAGCCCTTCCCCCCACTACAGAGACACAAGGTCTTCCTAAGGTTCAACAGTGTTGAGGAGAGATCCAGGTGGGTAGCTGTAATGATTCCTTGTTTTATATGTGTGTGTGTGTCTTTAAAAGTTTGGTTGCATGGCTGTATGATAGTCTAGCGTGGTTGAAACAGGCAAGTGGTGTGATTGGTGATTGACAGAGAGGGGGAGGGATGAATGGGTATGTCTGTCAGGAGTGACAGTTAGAGGTTTTGACAGTTGATAAGGACAGTTGAGAAGTGAGTTAAGTTCTGGGTATGAGAGGAAAGAGACACATCCCTGTGTGGGTTAAGTTAGTTGAAGTTCGTTCTGAAGTCTGAGAGAGAGACAGTCTGTGTGTGTGCAATTAAGAACAGCTGAGGTTGTTCTAAGAGGATAGAAAAATGTAAATGAAAGTAATTGAAGACAAAGTTTAAGAAAGGCTGTATGTCCTGGAGAGAAACAGTGAACTTACATGACCTTGAGTTAAAGTTACAAAGTTACATGCCAAGATCCCTGACAGTGAAAGGAAAAGAATGTGAGACACAAAGCAAGTGTTAAAAATATCCACAGTACCGGTTACCTTGTTATACTCTTTTATTTACAAATTATTTCAATAAATCTACTTTTATTCAAGTCTGCCAGCTCTGAAAGAAATAATTCCTCAAGAAACACATAGACCCTCATGAAAGCCTAAACCCTCGACCTACCTACCCAGTGATAGCCAAAAAAAAGTATAAAGGTTTGGAAATCCTTTTAAAATTTCCTGGTGGCAGCCAGATAAACCCTGTAGAACAAAATATAAAGAACCCTTTAAAGGGAAACCAGACCTCCCCAGAGAAGGGGTCATCACAGTAGCCATGTTGGTCTGAAGCAGCAGAAGAAAGGCTGAATACGGTGGCACCTTTAAGACCAACAAAGCTTAATCCTGGCTGTAAGCTTTCGTGTGCATGCACACGTCATCAAATGCAGAGAGACAACCATACACGTACACAGAGCTACCCTGGTAATTAAAAATGTTATCATTACCTATAACCAATGTTCCCTCTAAGCTGTGGAGTCTTGTGAGCAAAAATTCTACTTTGTGAGTGAGCGACTTGGCTACTGCATAATTAGTCTGCTTTGGAGCCATCCTTCCTGAGTTAAGACAGAAATGTGTGAGCCAGAGGCTAAAAACCTGTGAGCTAGCTCACACTAACTCAGCTTAGAGGGAACACTGCCTATAACTATTAATATTAAATATTAATGGATGGATGGCCTCCCACCAGCGGCCTGGATTCGAACAGCCATCTGGGAACCCAGACTCCTGTCCCATCTTCAGCGCTGAGACATCTGATCAGACTTTACATGGTATTTTAGGATTTTGTGCTGCCTTATACTGTTGCTTTAAATGGCTTTCATTGCATTGTATATTGGTATTCATACTGTTGGAACTCACCCTGAGCCTGCTTGCAGGGAGGGCAGGATACAAGTCCAAATAAATAAATGACAACAGGTGTGATGGCAAACAGGGCATATAGTAGTCATGTGGCTCTTCTGGTGGAGAATAATAGCAGACGCGGCTCTCCGCACGCCATGGAGTGAGTACCACTGCTCTAGAGAGACGAAGCTACTTCAAAGATGGCGCTCTTCCCATCAAGGGAATACAAAGCCCCCTTCAGGGCAGTGGAGACCGCAGTCCTAAACTGGTGCTGAAATGCGAGCAGACCCCCACCCAACTAAAGCAAGACTAATGAATGTGAGCAAATCCCATTCAGCTAATGCAGTTCCGCGGGGGCCTGCTGAGCGAAAATGTTCCGCCAGGCCTATGGCTGAGGCAGCGGCAGCTCATCTGGATTGGCCTCCCTCGTCTTTCCGGTGGGCTCTTCCGCACTGCCACTTTTGAGACTCATTTGCCCGTGTTGCTTCAGGGTTCCCCCCCCCCCAATGTGTTTTGTTCTCCCTAGTAGTCCCAGAGGGAGCAAAACACATGTGGAAAAAGGGGGAGGGCAAAGCAATAGGGACAAACAAGCAACAAAAATAATATTCAGAAGAGCCCTGTTTTTCTAGTGAGCTGTCTCGTGTGATTCCTTCATTCTAGTCTGCCCGCTCTGCTACAGCGTTGATCTATTACCTATCAATACACATGACCTGGACCCTCCCTTTGGGAGAAGATGCACCAGCAGAGGTGTCAAACTCATTTGTTATGAGGGCCGGATCTGACACAAATGTCTTTTTGTCGGGCCAGCCCACGTGTGCCATAATTCGTAGTGCCAGTTACTGGAGATAGGAAATGCATAAAGGACAGCAGCTGGTAAACTCTGAGTTGGTGCGTTGTCACTGCAAGGCCCCCTGGGATGGGAGGGGGGGGGTCTAGAGGAATACCCACAGAGGTGGACTGGAGAGGCAGCAGTGTAATGCTGGGCAGATGGCCCCACGATGCTTGACTGCTGCAGGCGAGGTTGTTCTGCTGTGCTCAAGCCATAATTGAGTGGGCCTGCCCATTGCCCCCAGCACCCCATCCCCTGCATCAGTTGCCCGCAGGCTGCATAAGAGCCCTGGATGGGCTGGATCCGGCCCCCGGGCCTTACGTTTTACACCCCTGAGTTACAGTACTGGCTGCCATCTGGTTGATTAGTATTAACTGACGTTATAAAGGGTTCTCATTGATCCATCCATATTAAATTGTTTTAATATTGTTTCTGATGCTAATGTTATCTGCAAGGGAGAGTGGGCTATAAATTAAATTAAAAAATTTTAAAAAATAAACCCAGTGTGGCCTGCTTTTTCACACACATTTCTCCAACTCTGAGGTGGGGTTGTTTTTTTTTGCAAGCTATGTGGGCTGAGTTATTGAGAAGGATCTTTTTAAGAGGGTTATAACGGCCGGTCATTTTTGGCTAGCTGAGTGTTCACGATGTTTGTGGCTTCAATCTGGTCTTTTTTCATCTTTCCTTGTGATGATAATCTTGAGTCAGGAACAGGAGAAAAGCGGATTCAAAACGACCTAAGTAAACAAGCCAGTGGGGGCAGTGGGAAGACGACTGGATGACAATGACATAAACTCCAAGGAAGAAAGCTTCCACGTTCAATACTCTTTCTGCCCGTTCTTATCGCTCCTATCTCAATATTTGACTTACCTCAGTTCGGTGGCCAACCAGTGTTTTGAAGCAGTGCTGCGTGTTCAGATCCCACCATTTCACTAGCGTGTCTTTTGCACTGGGAAGGGGGGGGGGGAAATCACATAGAGGATGGTAAACACAGTGTCTTCGAGATCAAATCTAAATTTACTTAGCTAATTTTGAGCTGCGCAGTTCAGCTGTTACCCACCACCAGGGCTATTTTTGGGCAGGAACGCACAGGAACGGAGTTCCGGCTGGCTCCTGAGTTGGCCACGCCCAGCAGGAACTCATTAGCATAATAGGCCACACCCAACAGCAGACACTCATTAGGATTGGCTACATTAGGGGTGTGTGGCCTAACATGCAAAGAAGTTCCTGCTACAAAAAAGGCCCTGGGTTTTGACAACAAAGTAAACAGAATAAGGAGCAAAAAGTGGGTGTGGTTGGATGACCACACTTCTGGTAACATGTGGGGTGTGGCCTAATATGCTAATGGCTCTCTGTTGTTGGGTGTGGCCTATTATGCTAATGAGTTCCTGCTGGGCTTTTTCTACAAAAAAACCCTGCCCACCACTGAACAGCTAAAGCAGGCAAAATATGTGGACTGGGCTGTGTCAATTACTATTTCCTATGGCAACCTACTTGTCAGAAAGTGGCAGAGCTAGAAGAATTTGGATACACTCCCTTAGAGGACACTGTGCAAGTGTGCCGCCCCCTCCCTCGCTGGCACCATCCCTTTTCAACCCACATACTGAATATTTGTACGTGGGAGAGCACAGATGGCCAGCCGCAGTCAGTCTTCTGCACCCCCCCCATACAAGAGGAATAGGAAGAGGGTTGCATCTCTTCTCTTCATTTATAATGGATAATTGCCACTCCTCATTTTTATACTTATTTTATTTACTTCATTTATAACTCATCTTTCTCCCCAAAATGGGGACCCCAAAAATACACCCAGTTTGGTGTAGTAGTTAGGAGCACAGACTCTAACCTGGGAGAACCGAGTTTGATTCCCCACTCTTCCACATGCAGCTGCTCGGTGACCTTGGGCAAGCCACAGTTCTCTCAGAGCTGTTCTCTCAAGAGCAGTTATCAAAAGAGCTCTCTCAGCCCCAACTGCCTCACAGGGGGAGGGGAAGGGAAAGGAGACTGTAAGCCGCTCTGAGACTCCGAGTAAAGGGTGGGGTATAAATCCAGTCCCTTCTTCTTATATCATTCTCCTCTCCTCCACATTTCCTCACAACAGCCCTGCGAGATAGGTTATCCTGAAAACATGTGACCAGCCCAAGGTCATCCAGTGAGCTTTCACAGCAGGGTGGGGATTCTAGCCCAACACTACACCACCCGGGCTCTCTATTTACGGCTTTAACGGCTTGGCACAGCAAATACAAGTCACAAAACTGAAGACAAACAAACGGCACCAGTCTTCTGAGTTTGTTTTCCCTCATGTCAGACAAAACAGTCCACAAGAGGCCCACCCACTTAGCTAAGCGGCTAAGAACCGAGAAGACTAGAACATCCGGTTGGTGGGCCTGAATTCGGCTGTGCTGGTCTTTATAAATGTGCTATAAAGTCCTCGAATTAACTCAAGCACTCGGATCAGGACCTAAGCATCATTTAGAGGCCTGGCCCACAGGATCCGAACTCGGCACCTTTACCTGGAGACCAGTATATTCTTCTCCTTCAGAAAGAGCACCTGCGTCACGGCATCCTTGTGGCCCTTCAGCCGATACAAACCACTCTCGTTGATCACATCCCAAACGATGACATCCGTATCCTGGATACAAAAAGACAGAACGTGAAGTCAGCCAATGAAGCTGGTTCAGAACAGACAAGATGGTTCTCTGAACAGGTAGAATTAACATACGGTGTTCACTTCCATGCAGAACGATGACACTCAGGGGGCCAGATGGGTCTTAGAAAAGGTTCAGACTAATTCATAGAAAAGGCTAGGTCTTTCAATGACTATTAGCCACACAGACACCCAGTGAGATAGGCGGGGCTGAGAGAGCTCTTTCAAGAACTGCTCTTGAGAGAAGAGCTCTGACAGAACTATTTGCTGTGCCAAATTCCATTTAATTCCAATCCAATCTAATACACAGCATGCCACTTATTCTGAGATTACATTAGTGAAACTCAGGAAGAAAACTGATACCTAGAACTGCCTCCTAGAAGACTTACATGATGCCACCTCTCTACAGTTGGGTGTAGTGGTTAGGAGCGGCAGAGTCTAATCTGGAGAGCCGGGTTTGATTCCCCACTCCTCCTCCACATGCAGCCAGCTGGGTGACCTTGGGTCAGTCACAGTTCTCTCAGAGCTGTTCTCTCAAGAGCTGTTCTCTCAGCCCCACCTACCTCACAGGGTGTCAGTTGTGGGGAGAGGAAGAGAAGGAGATTGTAAGCCACTCAGAGACTCCGAGTGAAGGGCAGGGTATGAATCCAGCTCTTCTTCTTCTTTTAAGCCCTTCCCTCATATCTGCCTTCGTCCCAAAGCCTTTGACAATTGCCTACTGAAACTAAGTTTCCACAGGTCTTCCTCTCTCTCTAGACAAATGTGCAATTGTAAGCACCCCAGGGCAGGGACCTGTCTTCCTGTGCTCCACAAAGCACCATCAAAAATGAGGGGCACCATATAAATAATACTGCTCCATTTGTTCCCGTGACCCTGTAGTTACCCCAAGAATTCTCACCTTTGACCCTGAAGCCAGGCAGCCTCCCAGCTCATCATATTTCAAGGCTGTAACCGCGGCTTTATGCCCATTGAAAGTGATGCTGCCTTCGCCGCTTAGGAGACTGAACACACGGATGGACCCATCCTCGTACCCCACAGCCAGGTGAAGCCCATCAGGGGATGGGCAAAGCGTCGTCACTTCCTGCTTGAGGCCCTGGAGGATGAGAACCTGCAACGTGGAATACGAGAGACTCAAATCAACTCATGTAGAAAAGGTAGGAGAGGTCTCTTTGGATTATACGCACACATCTGCCAGGACCTAGGGCCCAAAACGCTGATTCGTTATTTGTTAATACACTCCAACCACCCGTTTGTTTGCATGTGCAGGGTATTTAAAAGTACGGCAAAGGAATGGGGACATGTGTGGTTTTTCCATGCTGCCGCAGCCGCCAAATTCAATGTTCCCTCTAAGCCAGTGGTGGCGAACCTATGGCACGGGTGCCAGAGGTGGCACTCAGAGCCCTCTCTGTGGGCACGCGTGCCATCGCCCCAGCCAGGCCCAGACTATAGTTAAAGTGTTGAATTATCTGCCAAATAATTTTAAGTAAATGAAAGCACTTGGGACTGCTTTCCTTACTTTGTTTGGATCAACGTATCAGTTGTTTTTTCTAAAGTAAAACCTCAGTATTCAGGTTAAATTGCCGTGTTGGCACGTTGCGATAAATAAGTGGGTTTTGGGTCGCAGTTTGGGCACTCGGTCTCTAAAACGTTCGCCATCACTGCTCTAAGCTGTGGAGTCTTGTGAGCAAAAATTCTACCTCATGAGTTACTGGCATTAAAGTTGTGAGCGAGCCATTTGGCTGCTGCATAAATTACGTGTGCCCTGGAGCCCTCCTTCCTGAGCTCAGACAAAACTGTGTGAGCCGGAGGCTAAAAAACTGTGAGCTAGCTCACACTAACTCAGCTTAGAGGGAACACTGCTGCCGATACAGACCAGCAGCAACTAAGCTTTTATGTGGCAAGCTCCTCCCTGCTGCCCCGGTTGCGTGCCCTGGTCCACGTCATCCCTGCCTGTGGTGCTTTTTCACTTTTCGGAAATGCTGGCCATTTGTCATCACAATCAGGCTCACTGAATGCCCAAGCTTTCGTTTGTTCAAAAAAGAAAGTGACTCTAGCTCCTTTTGTTGGGAAGGCACTTTTTGAAAGCGTGAAAGGGGTTCTTCCCAGAAAACGGATTACCCCCAGCTCTCGCACCCTCTCCTGCCCCTTCCCATTGCCAAAGCAGCTCAGAAGGAAAACTGGGAAAACGTTCAGGAATTGTAGCCGCTTCAGAATGCAATGCCCAGGTTGTTCATCAGAACCCTCCGGCCTAAACACATTGCCTCAGTGCTGATGGAGCCACACTGGCCCTACAGGCAAAAACCCTGCGTGGTCTGAGATAGGGTATCTGGCATGGTCCTCTGTTAGGGGAGTTTTCAAAATCCTAATATAACCCCTCCCCCCTTTCCCCCGAGATCTATCTGGGAGAGGAAAAGATTCACTCAAGGTTTTAGGCAGTTGTCACAAGATGATCATCTGATGCAAGCAAGAGAGAGCAAGCTGGCTTCCTGAACAAGATTCAAAGTTCTTCTTTTATGGGATAAAACGGAAAAAGGTCAGGGTCTAGAATTCCAAAAGAAAGTTCATAATCACTTTACCCATACCGGGACCGCCCTTCCCCATACAGGCCCCAAAGAGCACTTCGGTCGGGGTCACAACACCGCCTAGTGACCCCGGGTCCTAAAGAGGCCAGGCTTGCTGCCACGAGGGCCAGGTCCTTCTTGGTGGCGGCTCCTACCTGGTGGAATGAGCTCCCGGAGGAGATCAGGGCCCTGCGGGACCTCTTACAGTTCCGCAGGGCCTGCAAGACAGAGCTCTTCCGCCAGGCTTTTGAGTAGGAGCCGCCGCCACCACCACCGAGTAACTGCAGAGTAGGACTGCCAGGTTGGGCCGACTGGCCACTCGGAACATCTTGGCCCATGGCATCCCCCCTCGTTGATCCCACCGCGATATACAATAGGGAGTGAGTTTTTTAGTTCCTAACGTATCCTGCAAGATGTGAGCTTTTGTTTTAATTGTTTTAATGTGTCCTATTTTTATTGCACTTGGTGCCTTAACCGTTCTAATCTTGTTGTATTTTATTGCACAGTTGTGCCTATGTATCTCTCCACTTGCAGGGAGAGCGGGGTGTAAGTGAAATAAAATAAATAAACCCCAAAAGTGATTGTCCAGACCGCCATCAGAGGCCGGCTCCAGAGGCCCCCACCTGCCGTTAGGCGGGCAGCGACCGGGGAGGTGACATCCAAGCAACAGAGCTCCCTACAGAAGAGGAGTTAGCCCTGCTCCTGCAATCACAACATACCAGGAAAACAAAAGACACTGTGGAAGGAAAAGCCCTCCTGAGTTTGAAGCAGCTTGCTCCTCACGTATGGGAACCGGTGTGAGTTTTCATGGCGTTAGGGAGCTCCATAGGAAAATGCTTATCCTTCACTCTGATGAAGATTAGAAACATGACCTTACCTGGGAGACACCTGAGTATGCTGGAAAGCCATATCAGACAGAGAATGATATTTATATAAAGGTAAGGGCTCCCTTGCTCGAAAGCCAGTCGAGTCCGACTCTAGGGTTGCGGTGCTCATCTCCGTTTCATAGCCGAACAGCCAGCGCCGTCCAAAGACATTTCCGTGGTCATGTGGCCGGCATGACTAAACACCGAGGCGCACGGAACGCTGTTACCTTCCCACTGAAGTGGTACCTATTTATCTACTTGCAATTTCTTGCTTTCGAACAGCTAGGTTGGCAGGAGCTAGAACTAGAGATGGGAGCTCACTCCATCATGAGCCAACTCGGGTCTCGAACTGCTGAACTACCGACCTTCCACAGCCTGCAGTTCAGCGTCTTAACCACTTGAGCCACCGCAGCTCCTTTATTTATATTTTTATTTATATAACTGCTGTTAAAATCATTGCTTGCCAAAAGCACAGAAAACACAAGTCATTTTGGTGCCTGATTTTTTTCCCTTTGAGTTGTCTTGTATGATGTTAAGCAAACTTGTTTCGACTTGTATTCCGTTTTGCATTTTGTCGTGGCTCATCTTTTCTCCTCTGACATGGGACGCACATATGTTTAAGATTTATTTCAGAAGACACGTTGTACGCATATGTCCAAAGTTTCACTTTATAAAGTTTCCATCTATTGATATTGTATTTAACTTTAAAATACTTATTTTATATAAAATATATAATTTTATTTATTATTTTTTAAAAACGTACACATATATAATATATATAAATAAAATAATTAAAATAAGCTTGCATAAGTCTTTATATATAATTGTTAGAAATTGCTTTCTCAGTGTATTTTGTTTTCCTGGTATTTGCAGCACCGTGTTCCCTTATTGACTTATTTCAGTAATAATCACAACAGGCAGATGCCAACAAAACCTTCTTTGTACGATTAGCATATCCCTTCCCATCACAGTTTTCCGCTCAGGGTGGCCTCCGCAATAGTTCTCAACCATCCACATCAGTCTCTTTGCAACCCCACACAACTCTTTTCGGCTTCATATATGTATTTTAAAAGGTGCAAGCAGCAAGACACCTCTGAGTCTGCTGTGTTGTCTTAGAGGCCGAGAGCTGCTCACCTTCTCTCCCTTCCGTGTATCCCAGATGAAAACGTGCTCACACGCTGGCACTGCCACATAGCGGCCTTTATCGCCCCGCAGAGTCACATAGGCAATATTTCCTTTCTGGCTGGCAACCACTCCAAAGAGGGCAGTGCCAGTGTAACGCAAATACTGCTTGGTGAGACCCATGGAGAGTGTTTCCAGACCCTCGCAGGATCTAACCTGTATAAAGGAGAGTTATTTTTTGAAGGAATACAGAAAATAACAAAAAAGCGTCATCAGCAGCGATCAGGCAGATATTGCTCTTCTACCACAGAGAATGTTGCCAAGCTGGGTACTTTGCCGCAGTCTCTCTTACTTACAATATGCTACATGCTTGCAACAAGGACCTTCGGGCGTGCCTGCACACCCACCCCCCACCCATACAGTTCAGTACCTTAGCCTTAAACTGAAAGCACAGGAAGAATCGAAAATACCTTTTTCAGACCATCAGCATCCTAACTCCAAGATCCTAGACACGTGAGTGGTATACAGCTCATCCTGGACCCGCAACATTCCCAACTACTCATACCAAATGGGCAGGCAGATAACCAGGAAAAGCTTTCCACAAAGACATTTTCAGGTGGGGGTGGCCGTATTGGTCTGAAGCAGCAGAACAAAGTTCGAGTCCAGCGACACTTTTAAGACCAACAAAGTTCTGTTCAAGGTATAAGCTTTCGTGCACATGCACACTTCTTCAGATACATTGACTGGTAACTTCTGTTTCGATTGATCTGAAGAAGTGTGCATGCACATGAAAGCTTATACCTTGAATAAAAATTTGTTTGTCTAAAGGTGCCACGGGACTCAAACTTTGTTCAGAAAAGCTTGATTGGGGACACATGAAGCTGCCTTTTATTGAATCCTTGGTCCATTAAAGTCAGTATTGTCTCCTGAGACAGAGAATGTCTTTCCAAGGTATCAGTCCTACCATGGAAAGGTATCAGATCTTTCCCAAGGTATCAGGCACACCTTCAGAAGCTTCATGCCCCACTTTTGGGATCCAGGTTGGGAAAACTGCTTCAACTGATGGTGCCAGAGACTGAATTTGGGACCTTCTGCATGCCAAGCAGGTGCTGTACCAGCTCAAGCACCTGAGCATTCAGGACCTGATTGGCATCAGATGACACGCTGGCTCTAAGCTATGTGGCCAGAGGGGCAGGAAAGCTTGCAGAGATTCCAAGTAAAAATAAATCAATCCATTCAGATCAGGCGAGGACTTGAATCAAATTGTACTTTCTTCAAACTGATAACATCTCCCCATTCCCACCTTTCTGCTGCTTGCAACTTACAGTATAAATATGCCTGTTACGGATGTGCCCTGCATGCATCTGAGTTTACGAAAGCAACAATAAACTGAATTAGTTTTTAAGGTGCCACTGAGTTCCTATTTCATTTTGGATGACTGAAGCCTCCTTAACCCTCAGGTGCTGCATTAATTGCACCACGGGATGAACGAAATGCACTCTGCACATGTCCAGGAGCACTAGCAAGATACCAATTTCCCCCTCAGTTCAGACTGAAATCTGGTAAGGTAGCGCAGGCAGAGCACCTGCTTCTTCCACCCACTCAATCCACCCCATATCCAGTAGAAAAGAGAAAGAGTCCAGTAGCACCTTAAAGACTAACAAAATATGTGGCAGGGTATATGAGCTTTTGTGAGTCACGGCTCATGTCTTCGGATACTTTGTTTCTTCCAGCATTCACTCAGCAACTCCTCCTTCCTGCCCTACGTCTTAACAGCTGCTTTTATGTTACTGTATGCACATTTTGGCTCTGGCCTGCAAGACGGAGCTCTTCCGCCAGGCTTTCACATAGGGGCCGCCACTACCACCACCACCACCAATGATGTGGACAACATCGGGGTTAAGGATGGCCCGGGAAGATCTGCCACAATTTTGCACGACTGATATTATCGGACTTATTTGCTTGGGATCAGCTATAGGACAACACCATCCCCAGAGAACTGTTTTTACCATCATTGCATATATTCGGGAACCATCCTGCTTTCAATTGAGTATCGTTGTTTGTGATTAATTGTCATTAATGTTTTATTGCTTTTATCCTGTTTCATATGGTCTTTGCCCCTTGTAAGCCGCCCTGAGCCCGTTTCGCGGGGAGGGCGGGGTAAAAATCCCAATAAATAAAATAATGTTTCTAGAACATGTATTAACCATGCTTTTAATCCAGTCGCCTTGGTGGACCCAATGAGAGCAAAGAGGTGGGGTATAAATAAACCACGTAAATAAAATCTTCCTGGCAACTAACCCTACCCCACCCGTATATAATATTTGAGGAACTCTGTTTGCATATTTTAGAAGACCTGAATGTACACATGCAGAGTCTCTCTGCTCTCGCATGTACCCAGGGCTGAGCTTGGCTGGTCTTGGGGGTGCCGCTGGACTCCGCCTTTTTTCTCACATCTGTTTGTTAGTTCTCGCATTTGTGTACTAATTTGCTGCCATTCGTTGCTCTTGCCGCCTTGATCCAATCCCAGCTTCACTTATGCATCTTAATTCTGGCTGATCCTTCCCGACGCTCCCACCCACCCTTCTCATCTTCCTGTATGTCAGGCTTGAAGAAATTTTGTTTCAGTTTGTCTGACGAAGCGTGCTTCTTGCACACGAAAGCATCCACCTCAAATAAAACTTTGCTGGCCTTAAAGGCGCCACTGGGCTCAAACGTTGCTCTGCTGTGTAAATAAGGAAACGAAATAAATAAAGCGCACCTTTCAGCTCCCCCAACTCACCACCGCACGCGCCCGCCACGAGACTTCAAGCCGCAACAACTCCACAGGCCAGGAACCGGAAGTTTCTCCCCGCACATTCCTAGAGCGGCCCTTCCATCCCCGGGATGGCATTTCCGGCCACGTCCGGCGCGGGTTCCCGACTATTGGGCGAGGAGGAAGAGAGGGCTTCGATCGCCATAGAGATGGCAAGGCCTAGAGCAAGCGCTTCGGAAAGTCACGGCCGGGAGTGAGTCGTTCCTGCCGGAAGTGTAAGCGGTGCGGCGTGTCCCGACGTTCCCCCCCTCCAGTTTCTATGGCAACCCGGGGGAGGCGGAGCCTGCGGTTAGAGGGGCGTTGACCGGAAGACGCGGCGGTGACAGGAGGGTCCAGCTTCCCCGGCCGGGGGATGCCTGCGAGGGGCGCTTGGCGGCGACGGCGGCTCTGCAGGGACCGGATGGGGGACGCGTCAGCTCCGCAGGCCGTGAGTGACCCTGCGGGGAGAGCTCTGTCGGGCCTCCTCCAGCCCCCCCCCTTGCCCGGTCTTTCGCAGCCCGTGGGCCGCAGTGGGTCTAGAGATACGGGAGCCCCAGGTTCGAGTCCCTGGTCGGCTGGGGCAGCTGGCCGTGGGTGACCTTGGGGCCGGTCACATGATGCTCTCAGACTTCAGCCGACAGGGAGAGCTCTCTGGAAAAGGACGAGCTTTTTTTTAAAAAAAAATTATTATTTATTTAATTTGTTTATTTGATTACGTTTTTAAGTCGCCTGATCCCCCACAGGTAGGCGATGTACGAATTTAAGAACAGTAAAACCACGCAGTCGTTATCCAAATAGATAATTCAGGAGTTAAAAATCAAGAGGCGACATTTTGTAAATCCCTCCCACTATCCGGTCTGTGTTGTCTCAGGGATATGGGTGGGGGGGGAATGTGGGAACACTCCCTTCTCTTTCTTCCCCACCAAGCCCCCCCAAAAAACTCCTATTCTTTACTATGCCCCTTCTTGTTCACGTGGTCACTTGGTGTTGTGTTTCTAAATTAACTTTTATGTTGTCTTTGCGCCATGGTGGCACACACCCAGATTGTATTCGTCTCACCAGCCCTGCAGGTGGGTTAATAGGAGAGGATGTGGGTTGGTGGCCTAAGTCACCCAAGTGAGCTCTGAGACTTCATTAGAGCCAGTTTGGTGTCGTGGTTAGGAGCGGCAGACTCTAATCTGGAGAACTGGGTTTGATTCCTCACTCCTCCATGTGTAGCCGGCTGGGTGACCTTGGGTCACTCACAGTTCTCTCAGAGCCGTTCTCTTAATGGCTCTCTCAGCCCCACCTACCTCACAAGGTGGCTGTTGTGGGGAGAGCAAGGGAAGGAGATTGTAAGCCGCTCTGAGACTCTGAGTGAAGGGCGGGGTGTAAATCCAGTCTCCTCTTCTTCGCAAAGCGGTCCTTCTGGGCCAAAGTTTAACTCTCCTAGGCCCACAGGGGTTATCTCAGGTTGTTTTCCTGCCCTTCTCAGGGTGGGACTGATTTGCATGCTTTCCGTGACTGAAACATTAGCGTAAAAGAGAGACATAGGATTGAAGCTGTGGGCCATTTTAGCATTTTAAATTCAGAACAGTTTTGTTTCAGAAGGGGGGATTTTTTGTGTAGAGGGAAATTGATGCATTAGCTATACAAATACTGTAGCTGTTTCTTTATACAGAGAGTGATTAAAATGTGGAATTTGTTGCCAGAGGATGCAGTGATGGCCACAGGAATAAACAGCTTTAAGAGGGGATTAGATAGTTTTATCCTCCATGAATCTATCAATGCTTACTAGCCCTGGTGACTGAGGGGGACCTCCATGTTCAGAGGCACTAATTCTCTGATTCCCGCGCCAGCAGACAACATCGGGGGAAGGTCTCAGCCTCTATGCCCTGAGCTGGCTGTCTAGAGGATCTGGTTGGCCACTGTACAAGACAGGATGCTGGACTAGATGGACCACTGGTCTGATCCAGCAGGGCTCTTGTTATTTTCTTAATCCCCCTGCGAGTACATGGTAGCCGAGACTGTGTTAAGGAGAAAGTGCAGTTTGGAAGGTGCAGGTGTCTTGCATGCCCGTTAAGCCACTTCCTCTTCTAGAAATCTCACTTCAAGACATGCTTCCTGCTGCCCGGTACTTTGATTGCTTGAAAATAATTCCCATTTGAGAGAATGGACCTTGGTCCCAAGTAACTGTGCAAGAGGACTGTAACTTAAAGCAAAGTGGTCACAGCTGTTCCTATCACGGGATCTTTTGGGTGTTATTCTTGAAAACAGAGCTGTCTGGTACATGTGTTTGCCAGGCCAAGATGGAATAGTAGCAGGTTAGGGGGTATCACTTTTGTTTTTTTCAAGTTACAGTGGGGAAGAAGCTGAGCTCAGTCTTAATGCCAGTAATTCTTTGCTTGCTATAGCCTGAGGTGTGTAGAAGATGGTCCATGGCAACCTAGTATGGAGACATAGTTCCCAGAGTCGTTTTTCTAGCAAGCTCAGATCTGGTTCTTGCAGACAGCAGAAGGGGAGATAAACCTGCATGGATTGTACTGCTTTAGACTGCTGGTGGGGGCTTTCCTGGGAGTAGATTCCTTGGTAGAGGACATGGCACAGTGACAGAACACCTACGAAGGTTCTAGGTTCAATCCCTGGCATCTCCAGTTAAAAAGAAGAAGAGAAGAGATTGGATTTATACCCCGCCCTTCACTACCCAAGGGAGTCTCAGAGCGGCTTACAAACTCCTTTCCCTTCCCCTCCCCACAACAGACACCCTGTGAGGTGGGTGGGGCTGAGAGAGCTCTCTCGAGAACTGCTCCTGAGAGAACAACTCTGACAGAATTATGGTTTGCCCGAGGTCATCCAGCAGCTGCAAGTGGAGGAGTGGGGAATCAAACCCGGTTCTCCCAGCTTAGAGTCCGCGCACTTAACCACTACACCAAACCGGCCCCCAGGTAGTAGGTGATATGAAGGACCTCTGCCTGAGACTCTGGAAAGCTGCTGCCAGTCTTCAGTAGACAATACTGACCCTGATGAGGCAATGGTCTGATTCAGTATAAGGCAGCTTCATGTGTGATGTAGAAAGCTGGTGTGCATGAGGCAAAGGCTATCCTAGAACTCTTCTCCCTGACATGTAATGTTCTAGGTGCCAGCATTGTTTAATGTACAACGGAGCATCCTTGCTTACAGTCTAAAGAGGTGCAGTCCAACAGCAGGGATTACCTCCCTCTTCCGCTATTTTGCAGAATGGGTCCGAGAAGATTGTTTTGCACACTTAAGGACGGAAATGGAGATATTCAGGAAATGAGATCCTTTGGTGGTGGTGGTGGGGGAGTGAAAGCACTCCCTTGGGAAGGATCCAAGAACGTAGCACACCATTTTCAGAAGCCAGTTGGATCAATCTCATGAATTTATTAATGGCGTGGCATGTTCTTGGATCCTTTCCAAAGGAGTACTCTCAGACCGACGTGTGTCTGAGAATATTATTTCGGAACTGAAAAACCCGCATGGGTTGTGTCGTGGCTGGTGCGTGTGTTCCTCCACGGGAATTTTGTTTTCCCAACCTCATCACAAGTCAAATCAAATTTTAAAAGTCAACTCTTTGATTCGGTGGCATCTCTTTTCTCCAAAGCACCAGGAAGACTGCAGTGGGAGCTGCTCACGCAATCGACTGAAATAGGCCCTGCCCTCTTCCTCCCATGGATCCTCTGGGCGCTCCTTCCCATTTTGTGGACACCGAACGTTTGCCAGGATGGACTGACCTTCCCCAGGCGGACTCTCAAAGTCTACCTGAAAGATGCCAAGCCGATGTCCCGTCGCCCTTCCCATATAGGAAGGACATCAACGCAAAGATAATATTGTGGTACGTTTCCACCTCACGAATGTAATACGTTGTGTCGGTCAGCACTTTGTCAGTTTTGCGTGAACAAGCAGGTTATTGCGATTAGGCCGAGGCCGCAGCAAAGTCTGCAGTAGGTGAGAAGGCAGGTTGTCCAGTTTCTGATGGACCAGAATGTGTCCCTGGGCCGATTTTTTGGTTATTCCAGCAAGGTTTTGCTTAGGTATCTCTGCGATGGCGATTAACATAAATTATACCATAGCAGTTGAGAGATCCTGAATATGCAGTGTTTTTAAAATGTGAAGCACATCACTGAACTGTGGGGATTGTAGTAAAAGGTGAGGGGGGAGACCGCAGAAGGTTGAAGTGAGGCCACTCTTGATACAGAAGATTGTGCAAGCAAGATGAGGTGTGATGCCCATAAAGGGGTATTGTGTGGTTTTATAGGATACAAGGAATTGCTTTAAAATACATATCCCAATACTTAAATAGTAAAAGATAGCAACCTGTCTCCAACAACATTCTTTTGTGCAACTACTCATAGCGTGGGGGACTTTCCGCCTTGTCTCTCTCATTGCAGCCCATCGAAATGTTGTTCTTGAGGGTGGGGGGATCAGCACAATAGCATTGGAGCTATAGGGGGGAAATTGGGAGAAATCCCACCCCTTCTGATGACAGAAGTGCCCTACAGTCTCTGGAAACAAGTGGCAGGATTAGAGATGTGAAGGCCCAGAAAAAAACTGGAAAAATTTGGAAAAAAAATTGATTATGGAACATTTTATTTTAACATGATGAATAATTTCTGTGCACTGAGGACAAGCAAGTCCTAGGTTACAAACTGAACTCTCCAATGCAAGAACAAAATGCATTTCTTCCTTTAGGAGGTGCTATTGTCAGAAGAAAATAAAAAGGTTTCAGATTTGTTTTTGCATGTGGGTGGGTATTCTGTTTGTAATAATTGTTTGGATACACTATATTTTTAATATGCTAGTTGTGATAATTTCATGCCAAGTAAAAATGTCCATAGTCAAAGGCCACTGCCTAGTTTATTACGGTCATAGACCAGTATAATAGAAGACCAGTATAAATACAGTTACAGGAGCAGTAAAATTATAAAATATATCGGCATCTAAAATTATAAATAGGATCTAAAAACTTTAAAATACAGAAATAATAGAATCAGAATTTTGATTAAAAATTAGGTTTAGGCCTATCTGTCCTTTATCTCTTTCCTAGTTTGGTATGCCAACCAACCAAATTTGGCAACCATCCTAGTCAACTTTTGATTATCTCCTGCCAGCATAATTGACAAAAGTATCCTTCTATCACGACCTGGAAAGGAATTAACTATAGGCTTGATCAAAACTTCCCTGGTATTATGATATATAAGACAATCGAAAATTACATGTTCCAATGTTTCATCAGATCCCATCCCACAAATACAACTTTTCCTCAATGATCTAGTAAATCTGGCCTCCATTATGGCTGAGGGTAAGGCGTTGTATCTTAATAGGGTAAAAATTCTTCTATGATTGCTGATATCTAAATATTTGATGTAAGGTCTCACAGCTATCTTGTTAAGTGAACTTACATCAAATACAGGGCTCCTAATCCTGCTCACGTCCATCTGTCGTTCGACATCTAATATTCTTTGTTTTAGAACTGATCTAGCCCGATCGTGTCCCAAAGACAGAATAAACTGTTTTGAAAAACCATAACAGACCAGTTTATCTTCTATCTTTTTCCGCCATGAAGGAACAAAGTTATCTTGCATCATAGTATGGGAAAGGCCAATGGGTAAAAAAATCAATTTTAACCAATAGTAAAATGCAGCAATCCACAATCTTGCCTCGACCATAACCAGGCCAGCCTCTAAACGGATTGCAGCATTTGAAACGCTTGTTGGAACTTGAAATATAGCTCTTAAAAATTTCGATTGTGTTCTTTCAAGTAAGGTCAAGTTTGTCAGGAGAGACAAAGGAGCTCCATATAATAATTGGGGTAATACCTTTACAGTGAATAACTTAATGGCAGCTTCTAAGTTACGACCTCCTTTGGACCAGAAGAACCTTTGAATAGCTCCAGCGCTTTTCTTTGCATTAGCTGACAGGTAATCAACATGGCCTTTCATATGACCGGACGACTGAAATACAACTCCAAGGTATCTATAGCAACGAACTTGCTCAATGGTACGAGAGTCAATAACCCATTTAAACATCCTAGGCCTATTGGCAAAAGCCATTATTTTAGTCTTCATATAATTTATCTCTAAGCAATTCTGATTACAGTATTGCATAAGAGCACACATAGCTCTCTTAAGTCCCTTAGGGGTCCTAGAAAGCAAGACGGCATCGTCTGCATAAAGCAAGATTGAGATGTGTCTGTCTGCAAGCTTTGGAGGATGAAATTCAGGTTTGTACAAAAACTGTACCATGTCATTGATGTAAATATTAAATAAAAGAGGTGCCAAGATACATCCTTGTTTTACTCCTCTATCTGACCTGATCATCCTAGTAAGATGACCTTGAGGATTACATCGTACCCTAATAAAAGTATTTTTGTGAAGAGCTCTCAATAAAAACAGTAAGCGCCTATCTATCGTAGAAGATTTCAACTTTTCCCATAGGATTGTTCTTGAGACAGAATCAAATGCGGATTTAAAATCTACGAAAGCTGCATACAATGAGGTTAAAGAATTCGAAGAGTATTTGGAAATCAAGTGATTCAATATCACACACTGATCTAAACATGACCGTCCCTCTCTAAAGCCTGCTTGTTCCTGTCTCAAAAGACCTTCCTGCTCCATCCAGTCTTTTAGCTTCCACTGTAAGTGTTTTGAATAAAGCTTACTTATTATACTTAGCAGACTGATCGGCCTATAATTAACAGGATCCTCTCTGTTCCCTTTCTTGTAAATAGGCACTATTATTGCCACCCCCCAGTCTTTAGGTATTCTACCAGTTCTATCTATAGTTGTAAATAAGGTAGCAAGAACTGGAACCCACCACTCGAGGTTCCTCTTGATCAGGTCTGCACATATAAGATCAGAACCTGGGGCTTTGTTGGAACTCAGGGTCTGTATGAGGTTCTTAATTTCTTGAGGATGCACAGGGGACCAAGAGGGTAAGGTAGCTATATCCAGGACCTCTGAAGCAGCCTCATCCTGACCTTGGTAGAGCTGCTCAAAATAATTTTCCCAAGTTTCAGGGAGAATTGTATTACTGCACACTGAGGGAGGTCTAGTATTACAATTAGAGACCATATTCCAGAATAAACAGGGATTTTTATCTCTGCATGCTGAGCTTAATTGCTCCCATGCAAGGGCTATGGCGGCCTTCTTTTTTCGCTGTATCAAGGCCTTATATTGTTTCTTTAAGATTTTCATGTCCTCTAGGGTGTCCTTATCTTCATCACACCTATATTTGATATACATAGCATTAAGAGCACTTTTCAAAGATCTACACTCTTTATCAAACCAAGACCTTGAATTACTATTAATTAATCTATTTTGTTTAAAGGAAGGCTTCCCCATTACATTTTGTATTTCTCTTATAATATGAGCATAAGCGTCCAGATGTAAATCATCCTGACCCTCAATTCCTAACTTAGTTAAACACTCATCGAGGACACCAGAACTCAAAAGTTCTACAATTTCTTTCTCTTTCCTTTCATTCCAGGGTACCCTATAATACTCATTTCCTTCCACATTACCCTCCAGATGTAAATCTGTAATTCGAGGATCATAGTTCGGTGCCACAAATCTCAAAATAGTAGGGAAATGATCACTCTCTAGGTATGAGGAGACTTCAAATAGTTCAACCAAGCTTAACATATTCCCTGAGACAATAATATAATCAATAGCACTCCTCCTCTCACCAGAGCAATAAGTAAATTCAGCTGGATAATCTGTGGGGTATGAACCATTTAAAATATGGCAATTAATGCCATTTACCATTTGTAAAAAGCTATAACCAGCAGAATTAAACTTTTGATCTTTTGAGCATCTCACAAGTGGGGGAGTAGGTACTTGCTCCTCTGGGGGACAGGTATTGTATCTATCATAAAGAAAATTGTTATTTGGACCTATTCTAGCATTAAAATCTCCCCCGACTATCAAATAAGCAGTTGGATACTCACTAATTAAATTCCAGATATATGTTTCAAGGCCAGCCCAATCTATATCATTCTGAGGGGGACAATAGACATTAATAATTAAACATGTTGTCTGAGAGTACATCAACACTAATGCCATAGCCACTTGATTAAAGGGAACCAGTTGTTTAGCCCTTACGTTGAGTATAGTCGAAATTAATATACCCAATCCCCCTTTTGCTCTCCCCCTTTTAGAGGGCAGTGCTTGAAGATCATATGTTTTATACCCATTAAAAATAATGGGATCTACCCGCCAAGTCTCCTGCAGCAAAATTACATCAAACTTCCTTAAAAAGGTTACAGTTTCAGCATCCCTCAATCTATTGGCCCATCCCATGACATTCCATGACATTAAAGAGATAATCTGTGAGTTGTTGTATCCATCAGAGGAAGTTGAATTATGTAGTCAGTCAGAAGAGATCAAATCCAATTGGCCTGTTCGGTCACTAAACACACATCCATTACCTCTAACTTCCTTGTTCTTAAGAGGATTATTATCATGGATATCATTGTTAGATTTCCCAGACATGTCTTCATTAAAGTCCATCACAGGATCTGGGGAAGCAGAATCACTATTAACAGGAGTATTAGGGGCAGTAAAAAATTGGAGCCTCTCCTTATTTCTTTGGAAGTTGCGACTTTGATTCCCCAGCGACTGGAGGTTAGTCCTCAATGTCTCAAGTCTATTAACAATCACAGCTTGGTCCTCTGTTGGTAAATTTGAGTAAGAGTTTATCAAATCATCCTCTACGGAATTGTCGAGATTCAGGCCTTCATGTGTTTGGACTGCTGAAGGTAAATTCCTTCCTGCGGGAGTAACTGCCATAGCAACCACTCTAGTTGTTAGGTCCTCTTCCCTCTGGCTGGAGAAATCCATCAAATCAGGTTGCAGAGACTTCTGGTTTTGAGCAGCTTGATATTCCTTACAGTTCTTCCTCAGAAGTGGAACAGGTCTTGATGTATTCAAAAAGGCACGAGCCGGGAAGATCCCTTTGCTTTTAAATACTGCAATCTGTCTCATTATTAGTGATGGAATCCTCTCACTTGCAAATGTGAGCAGGACTCTCTGCACTTGGCCTGGTTGGCTAATGATTTCTAGCTCTGTCAAGTCTAGCCTAAAGGTCCTCTTCCCTAATAACGAGCTCAAGTGTCTTAGGACCTTAGGTTTTGTGTTCCATAAAGGTAGCCAGCCTCTGTATCTGCAGATTGTCAAACCTATTTTTTTGGGCTGAAAAACCAGCTGGAACTTAGAGCTTCCATCATCCCTTTTGCATGGAAAAGAAGAGACTGAAGGTAATTCTTTACTCCCAGGCATTGTTTGCACATTAGCAGGATTGTGTTGTAAACCTCTAGTTGTCCCACTCATCATCTCAAGTTTTCCAAGTTTCTCATTAATTTCATTTAGGCGCCTCAGAATACATTTAACTGTTATAGCAGTCAGATCTATTAAATTATCCAGCTGTCTTTCACAATCACAGCAGCTTCCTTTTTCTTTTAAAGGGGCAGTATCTGCTTCTGTTAAAAACTCTTCACTTTCTATCTGCTCGCTCCTGGTTTTATCAGCTAAAATTGCATATTTATTTGCAACAGGAATGTTATAAGCGATCTCTCCAGCAAAAAAGTCATCTATCTTCGTTTGTTTATGTGCTGGAGGGGAGGAAATTCCATCCCCCTCAGTATCTCTTGGGCGTTTTCCAGCACCCATTAGGCTTCGGTTACAAAGACAATTTCAAGAGCCTCAGCTGATAAGGAAAAGTAAATGCTGAGCAAAAGGAACAAGTCCAGTATTAACAATACGATATATCTTGTAAATCCAGCAGGGAGGCAATTCAGAAGAAGAATAAAACAAAAAGAAAGGAGCCACAAAAAAAACGCTCACCAGCCGTCGGCCATCTTTTTCTCAGTGTGTGTGTGTAATGTCCATAGTCATATTTTATGTCCCTAAAGTAACAGAATGACTTTCAATCTAGAAAAGACAAAAGAAATGCTAATGTAGCATTTTTTCCAATTTTTCTGAAAATTTCTGGTTTTTTCCGGAAAAAACTGGGGGGGAAATGGGTTTTTTTCCAAGCTTCAAAATTTCCGGAAATTTTACATCTCTAGGCAGGATGCAAGCTGGCATATCAAACAGTCATAGGTTGCCACTTAGTGTGTGTATGACCGTGAAATGTGTATTTTTTTTTTACGTTTTCCCATACATTCCTGTTGTCATTATTATTTCTGCTGCTGTATGCTCATTTTCAGTTTCCCTTTTCCTGTTAAACCATCTCTTCTCTCCCTGACCACAATCAAACTACAGTTTTTGGGTACAGCAGTTTGGATCCAGACTAAGAGAAATATAGGGAGGGAAGGGAAGAGAGATTGTAGGAAAGGGTGATAATTACCAGTCTCGAGGAAAGAGGTCCATAGAAGCAGCAAACGACCAGCGTTTTGTGAAGAGAGCTCAGCAAAGTGGAGGTGTATGTGGAGGATCTAAGGTTAACACCTCATGCCATTCCTGATGGTCCCTCTCCCCCCCCCCCAGCAGCATTTCAGGGAGGTCAGTGAGCTGCAGTGGGAGGGGCAGAGGTAGGAAAAGTCTGTTCTGCTGTGCGTGGAAAACTTAGTATCCCCCGTAGTGCCCTGACCTGGATGGCTCAGGCTAGCCCGATGGCATCACATCCTGGAAGTTAAGCAAGATTAGCCCATTAGTGCTTAGGTGGGAGACCACCAGTGAAGTCCAGTGCTGCTACTCACAGGCAGGCAATGGCAAGCCACCTCTGTTCACTGTGAGGATTCCCTTTACTGGATCTCAGCCTATATAGAAAGTTTATGATGGTAGTATAAGGTAAAGGTAAAGGTTCCCTTGCTCGAAAGCCAGTCGAATCTGACTCTAGGGTTGCGGTGCTCATCTCCGTTTCCAAGCTGAAGAGCCAGCGCTGTCCGAAGATGTTTCCGTGGTCATGTGGCCAGCATGACTAAACGCCAAGGCGTACAGAACGCTGTTACCTTCCCACCGAAGTGGTTCCTATTTATCTACTTGCAATTTCTTGCTTTCAAACTGCTAAGTTGGCAGTATACTTTCCAGTAATTATTCCAAAAGGTTAAACTTATTGAGTGCCACAGTGAACTATTTTGTGTGGGGGGTTTTTATGGATCAGGACACCAGCAGAGGAATTTCAATTTTTCTGCCACCTGTCAGTTAATTGGCCATTAACTCATGCTTCTTTTTTGACTATAAATGCCACAAGCAGCCCAATCTGATAGTCTGACTAAGGTGGCTGTTGCTCTAACTGCATTTTCGTGAGCTAGTCAGGTGTTTCATTTTCCAGTTTGCTTAGTTGTCATTCAGCTCTTGATTCTCTGGCTTTCTTTGCACTTATGCTGGGCTTGTGTTGTGGGTCTGCTGAGGGGTAGGGGGAACGTGGAGGTGTTGTGTGTGAGTGGGGCATGTCTGGGAGTTGTGTGCGGCAGGGGAACAGTTTCTGCGTTGTCAATATCGGAACGGTGAGGGTGCTGAAGCATGATCCAGACAACACTGAGGCACTCTGGCCCCGGTCACACGAAAGGTTTCGGCCGGGAGAGGGACGGATCGGGGGCGGAGCAAACAGGCGCGATCCCACCGCAACATCTGGGAAACGTTGCGCACCCGTCCCCGATCCGGCCCTTCAGGCCGAAAAGCCACATCTAAAATAAACCACCTACAGAGGTGGACTTACCAGCACGGCCGCATCAAGCGCGGCCGTGGGATCGCCGGCACGTCCTTCTGCTGGTGCATCCAAGACCCCTGGCCAAACTGCGCATGCTCACACATGCGCAGTTTGGCAGTCTCCGTCTCATCGCTTTCTCCCCAGTCTCCCCGGCATCTGATCGTGCCAGGGAGCAACTGCGCGGCGGCTCACGGGATCTGTATGATCCCGCTGCCACGTGTCTATTTTGGTGCGGCTTTCAATACCCGTGCCCCACCCCCCCCCCGGTGTGGCAGGGACCTATGATAATTTATTCATGAGTTAGCTGTTCTATCCACCTGTCCTGGACTAGATTGTACCCCCTCTGAAATGTGAATGCTGTTTAGGGCATTCAGGTCTCATATGTGGCACATAGCACATTTGAACAACTTGAATTGGTTCACCTGCTATGCCCCTTCATGGAAAAAGCAAGATTTCTGCAGTATGTTTTACATGGGGGCTGCCTTGGAAGACTGGAAACTTCAGTTGGTACACAGTGCATCTGCATGGCACATGCTATTCAGATCCTCTCTCTCAAGGGTTGAAAGAATTTAACTAGCTTTCAAATAAATTTTGAACACTATTTCTTTATGATATTTCTAGTCCACCTTTCTTACTGAGACTAAAGGCAAGTTACACAGTCTAAATCTAAGCAGTCAGTAGAATGATTAATAAGCAGTGTAATAGGACTAGGATTTGCAGAAGTTTGAGAGCTGTTGTTTGACCAAAGCATAAGGAATAAACTTGAGATGTATCAGGAGGATTCTGCAGAGCAAAAGCTTGCAATAAACGTGTTCTTTTGAGGCTGCAAACAATGGGCTCCCTTAAACTCCACTTGCATATCCGTTTCACCTGATCAGGAGACACATTGTGTATTTTTTTTCCTTTCCCAGAATACTTCATCACACCATGCAAAGTTTAGTGTCAGTTTTTCTGCAGGAAATGCATTAGGATGGGCATGTGTGTATATAATACGAAACTGTCTAATGATTGGTTTCTTGTAATGTCTTTACACAACACCTAACTTGTAAATATTGAAAAGAGAGAGATTTCTGCCTCTTGTGTTTTTACTGCTTCAGAAGTGGTCAGTCGGTCAGTCAATCAATAAACCTTTAATGGCATATAGAAGTGGTCAGTCGTGCTGTTGCATCTCACGAGTTCTGGGAACAGCAGTGCAGTCTGTGTGGATACGGACCGCTCACTGCTGTCTCATTAATACCTGCAAGACTACCCAAGAATGCGTGAGAGACCTGTGTATGAGCTGCGAAGAACCCCCTTTTTCTTGTATTTCTTCTTCTCTTATGCTCCTCAATGAATGGGAATGATAATCTCTCCTCAGGAAGGGCGACGTAGCGCTGCTGAACTGCACGGCCATCGTGAACACCAGCAATGAGTCTCTCACAGATAAGAATCCCTTGTCAGAAAGTATCCTCTTGCATGCAGGACCTGACCTGAGGGCTGAGCTGCAGAAACTCAAAGGTAGGTATAAGATTAAACTTGAGCAAACCTGCTCAGTTTCTGTCCATCCACCCGGACTGAAATTTTCAGGACAACTCTCTGTTCTTGGTACTTTAATCGTTAGTCATGCATAAACCCACATATGTGTGTTGGAGCAGAGTTTGGTCATTGGTCTCTAGATCAGGGGAAACAACTGTTCAAACATGGGAAATTCTCACTCTACCAAGACTTTAGCTGCAGAAACAGCAATAGCCACACGGAGTATGGATGATGTATTCCATAAACTGTTCCAGTCCCAGTATTTTTCACACTTGAAGAGTTTATTCAGCAGATAGTTTTTCGTCCGTCTTGAAAGATAACTGTAATTTTCCAAGACAGAGTACTGTATGTGTAACTTGGAATAAAGCAGCATATGAATTATTTAAACCAGTAGCAATGTCTGCTCGCCGTTTCAAAACCGACACATGTGTAATACCCTGTTGCCCCGAAAATAAGACCCCCCCCCGATAATAATGCCTCCCCCGAACATAAGGCCTCCTTGATAATAAGGCCCCCTGAAGCTACCGTAACTCTGGACTCTGGGCCGTAGCGGCGGGCGCCGGCGCGCAGCTCACTGTTGGCCGCTGCGCAGCCGGAGCAGGCGAGGTCCTTTTTAATCAGAGGGCCGGCGCCGCCGCCAGGACAAGCTGCCGCCTGCTGCTCGCTCTGCCCTGACGGAGTGTACCGTATTCTTCTTCATGGAAAAATAAGACATCCCCCGAAAAGAAGATCTAGTGCATCTTTGGGAGCAAAAATTAATATAAGACACTGTCTTATTTTCGGGGAAACAGGGTATATACTTCTAAACTTAACTGCAGATTACTTGGTCAACTGAGCTTTGCCCCCCGCTGCGGTAATTATTAGCAGCTTCTGATCTTGAACTACAGCAGGGGGTCCCCCAACCTTTTTGAGCCTGCGAGCCCTTTTGGAACGGTGACAGTGCGGTGGGCACAGCCACAGGATGACTGCCACAGAATGGCTGCCGGGGCTTACCATCAGTCACACAATGAAGATCCTTGTGCCGTGGTGGCAGCTGCTGCCAAATTGCATGGCCCATCAGAGGCCTTGCTGGGCTAAAGCCCCGCCTGGCCCCACCCACTTTCTAAAAACCTTTGGTGGGCCCCAGGAAAGGTGTTGGCGGGTGCTGTGGTGCACATGGCCACCACACTGGACCCCTGAACTACATTAAAGGTAAAAAGGTAAAGATTCCCTTGCTCGAAAGCCAGTCGAATCCGACTCTAGGGTTGCGGTGCCCATCTCCGTTTCCAGGCCAAAGAGCCAGCGCTGTCCGAAGACGTTTCCATGGTCATGGGTTCCGGCGTGACTAAACGCCGAGGCGCACGGAACGCCGTTCCCTTCCCACCGAAGCGGTCCCTATTTATCTACTTGCAATTCCTTGCTTTCGAACTGCTCGGTTGGCAGGAGCTGGGGCCAGAGACGGGAGCTCACTCCGTCATGCGGCACACTCGGGTCTCGAACTGCTGAACTACAGACCTTCCAGTCCGCAGCTCAGCATCTTAACCTCTGAGCCACCGCAGCCCTATATTACTGAATGGCAGATTGTTATGGCTTGTTCAATTGTACTCAAATTGTTTTCTGTGTTTAAAGCAGCTGATCTACCACCCAGCTATGCTGTGTGGCCATCCAGAGGCATAAGGAGGGGACCACCCTGGGACTAAAATGTATACACACACTTTGGTGGCCTTCACTTCTCGTATTTATTACTTTTCTCAATTACGTCTTCTCTCATCGTCTTAACTTCAGGCTGCCGGACAGGGGAGGCCAAGTTGACCAAGGGCTTCAATCTAGCCGCGCGTTTCATCATTCACACGGTGGGGCCCAAATACAAGAGTCGATACCGCACAGCCGCAGAGAGTTCCCTGTACAGCTGCTACCGTAACATACTACAGATTGCAAAGTAAGCGTGCGTCTGTCTGCTCGTGGGGCGTGAGCCCTCTCCATAGTGTGCACGAAGGGCATGCGGAGCTTTGTGATTCCTGAGCAGCACAGAAACAGTGTGATTCATCAGCAGCATGTGGATTCCTGGCAGATTTCTTCCCTATTGCCTAGCTGTTTATCATATGCCCTTCTAATGTCCCCTGCTGTTTAACTGTCTGCCTCATTGACTTTAAGGCCCAGGTTCTCTATGATGTCTTGCTTTGGAGGACTAGTCTCAAAGACCAATGCACACGGAGGCAGACCCATTCTTATTTTTTTAATGTGTGTGTGTGTGTGCATGTGAGTGTGTGTGCACCTGGAAGTCATGGCGACCCCTGGTGACTGACCCCTACTGGGGCCCTGGAGGATACTCAGAGCGGTGGCTGAATAAAGCCTGCCCCCGCCTCCCAACTGCTGGTATTCCTTGGAGGCCTCCCATTCCAGGTACTTGCCAGAGTCGACCCTGCTTCGCTTGTGAGATCTGACAAGGTAGGGCTTGCCCGGGCTATCCCCAGGTCAGAGCTGAAGCAGACATGTTCTTAATTACCCAACATCTGGAAACCTATCATGCCACAGAGAACTTAGCAATGGGATTGGATCCTGGCAAGTATGTGGAAGGAGCGTCTTCCCCGCCTTCCCTTTCCCACAGCGGTATCCCCATATGACCGTTAGGGCAGGAGGGCTCATAAATAAAATGTGTTGTGACCAAGGCTCTTTTTGTAGCAGGAACTCCTTTGCATATTAAGCGACACACCCCTAATGTAGCCAATCCCCCAAGAGTTTACAGAGCTCTTCTTACAGGGGCTACTGTAAGCTCTTGGAGGATTGGCTACATTAGGGGTGTGTCACCTAATATGCAAAGGAGTTCCTGCTACAAAAAGAGACCTGGTTGTGACGCAGGAGACTGAAGCGGGGACGCCGTGTGAACATAGGAGCGTGGGGCGGCAGTTTTGCCTGCCTCCGTCTCCCCACTGTCTCCCCCCTCCATGGCGCCTTATTGCATTCTGTCCACGAGGCACCCAGATCCCCCAGCTTCAGCTTTTCAAAGGTCTCGAGGAGCTGCTGTGGGAAAGGGAAGGTGGGGACTCATGGAGGCTCCTTCCTCTGGGGTAAGTCTGGACTGAACGCGTAGTGAGTGGTGTTCTGTGCAGGCTTCTGATGGGTAACAGTTCTCTCCATTTAGCAATCCAGTCTTTGTTCCTCTCACTTGCTGAGCAGTATTTTCTGTCTCGCGGGGCCCTCTGGCTTATTTCAGCATAGCAGGATCCCTCAGTTTTATGGTAAACCATCATCTTGGCCTGAATTATCTTGGGCTGGGACACAAATTCAGGTCACAAATTCAGATCTAACGTTCCTTGTGTATTAAGGGCAGGTGGGTGCCAGGGAATGTTCTGTTGCCTTAAGAACATAAGAAGAGCCCTGCTGGATCAGACCAGCGGTCCATCTAGTCCAGCATCCTGTCTCACACAGTGGCCAGATAGTTCCTCTGGGGGGCCAGCACCAGGGCATAGAGGCCCAGGCCTTCCCCTGATGTTGCCTCCGGGCTCTGGGATTCAGAGGCTTAGTGCCTCTGAATGTGGAGGTTCCCCTCAGTCACCGTGGCTAGTAGCCATTGATAGACTTATCCTCCATGTATCTATCGAATCCCCCTTTAAAGTTGTTTATTCCTGTGGCCATTGCTACATCCTCTGGCAGCAATTTCCACATTTTGATCACTCTCTGTGTAAAGTAGTATTTCCTTGTCTTTCAGGCACTCTGTGTTTATTGGATTTATGCAGTCCACCACTGCCTTGCTGTGCTTCATGTCTCTGAAGCAGGTTTTTCTGTAAATAAATCTGTGCCCCAGTGAAGAAGGTAGTTTCCCCCTCTTGGCTGTGTTATAGTCTAACTTATCGGGAACTCATATTCATGTTTTATACTCTTTGGGGCAATAGACTACACAGGAGAGCCAGTGTTGGATCTCTTGGTCCTGAAGCGTTAGCTGTGAGCGTGGATTCTCTTAAGGGTTCGTTTGCTTCATTCTCACATATCAGCTGAGGTCAGGATCAACTATCCTGGAGTCTACAGTGAAGTCAGCTTTGGCCAAGCAGCCTAGAATTCATAAGCGTCAGAGTACCTGGAAAGTATTCAGTCCCGAGCCATTTTTCAGTCTCAGATACTTACGGATGTTAGAAATGTCACCTCCCCTTCATTGAATGATTGCACTTCTGAAGGCTGTCTTCATAAACGGTGTCTTTCTTTTTTGAGTGGTGTGTGTGAGTGTGTGTGTGAGTGTGTGTGTGAGTGTGTGTGTGAGTGTGTGTGTGTGTGTGTGTGTGTGTGTGTGAGAGAGAGAGAGAGAGAGAGACTGGTGACCCCTAGTGGGGCTAGGACGTTTCAGAGAGGTGGCTCTGTGTACCTGCCTCTGTGTCCCAGCCCTGGTATTCGTTGGAGGTCACCCTTCCAAGTACTTGCCAGGGTCGGCCCTGCTTAGCTTCCGAGATCTGACGAGATCGGGCTTACCTGGGCTATCCAGGTCAGGGCTTCATAAACGGTGTCTTAACGGTGCACCATCTTTCAGAGCGGAGTCTTCTTCTTCAATCGGATGCTGGGCCCTCTTTTCTGAGAAACTGCTGCTAAATTAAGACCCGCTTGGCAAGCACAAAGGCAAACAATTGGGCTGGGAATGCCTAAACTCCCCTTCTCAAGAGTCGTGAGCATAAATTGCTTTGATAATCCAGGTGCCCCCCCCCCCCAGTAGCACCTTGAAGCTTTATGAGAATCATATCTACTGGGAGCTTTAGCTACCAAAAAAAGGGCCAGGGTAGTTTCATTACTACTTGTCACGCTCGGGATTACGGGAGGGTTCGAGTCGGTCGTGAGTCGAATCCAGGTTGCAAGGGTGAACAACATCGACTCAGGTTTGCCTCAGATATGTTGTTGGTCAAGTTGAAACTCCCTCGCCACAACCGAGAGAATTCGCTTTAGACGAGTACGAGTGGATGCGTCTCCCTCCTCTCCGTCTTCTCACGAACTCCCTCCTTTTTCCTCCCTGGCTTCACCTGTTCGATTCCTTTATTCGTTCAGCCTCTTCACCTGTCCCACCCACCACCCACTTCTTAAGGTAACCGAGCCACAAGCCTGGGCTCCGAGGGACTCCCATCCCGTCGCTCCACCTGCCAGCCCTGTCGCACTCGGTCGGGTCCCTGACGCCCTGCCCAGGTGGTTCCGCGTCCCCGACTCCCGCCCTTCTTAGGACTGTCGCCTACTCGGTGGCCATTGGGCCAGGACTCCTGGACCTCCCGGGAAGGGTCAAGGACTGCCTTCTTTCCCGTGACGTGTGCTATTTGGGTAATTGCCGGAATAGTCGGGAGGGGATCGGCATCGCCCTCCGGACACTACTCTCTAGAATGCCTCAGGACTTTGCAACAACAAAAAATGAACTCGGTTGAACTTTCTGAATTGATTCCAGCAGTTATGGTCCCTGGTGTTGTATTGTCTCGTGACGCCATTTCATACAGGGAAACCGGTGTTCAGTTTGCAGTGCTTTTGGTCGTGTCAGGGGATGCATGATGTGTGTGTGCTTCTGTTTTTCACTGCAGGGAGCAGGCGATGTCTTCAGTGGGATTCTGTGTCATAAATACCGTGAAACGAGGTTACCCCTTGGTGGATGCCACCCACATAGCCTTGCGTAAGTAAGCCCTGGAAGGCTTTCGGTGGTCAGTCGAAGGCCGTGACGGGTCTCCGGCACTGCACAGCTTCCTCTTAAATTAATAATGTGGAAACGACGCAAGGTGATTTCTCTGCCTGTCGTTGCTAGGAATGTAGAAATCCATCGCTGGATTATGCCATTCTGTATATTCAGTTGGAAAGATAACTGTATTGATGTCGCAAGCGAAGTATTTTCTAACCGCTAGTAACTGATGGACCTTACAGTACACGACCTTACAAGAATAGCTAGCAAACAGTGCAAAGTGTGGAGTGACCTCCTTGCATACATAACTTGGAACAACATTCTGAATTAGTCTGTTACGGTAGCTAAATGTTATTATTATTAACAGTTAATGCCAGATAAAGCCAGTTGATGCACGTGGCTAGAGGCTCAGATCCGGACATCATGCCAAACCGTGCTTTGCGCTAAACACAGCTTAGAACCCAGACTTTGATCTGAGCTTCCGAGCAGATCAGGATGTTGAGCTGCCAGTCAGCGTTGGTCTTCCGCCTGCTCAGCGCTCCCCTCTCTATTGTGCAGCGGCCTCCATAGTCAGAGAAATATCCGTAACGATAGAAGAAAGCTCGGGTCCAGTGGCACCTTTAAGACCACCGAAGCATTATTCTGGGTGTAAGCTTTCGTGTGCGCGCATAATCCTTCAGATAGTTTGTCACTGGACTTTAAAAAATAAAAAAAGAGGTGCCAGAACTCTCAAGAAGGAAATGAAGTTTTCAATCCATATCCTGAATGCCAGAGAGTTTGCCAGAGAGTTTCCAGAGCTCAGTTCCAGTGCATTCCCCCAGGGAAAAAAAGCCCTGGTTTGTCAATTCAGACATCAGCCCAAACTATCATTAGCACAAACCATGGCTTAGGAGCAGGTTTTTGGATTCTGCTTTGCCAGTGAGTCTCAAAGCGCGGTGCATTGATATTTATGAGTTTTGGGCGCTGAACTGCAGGCTGTGGAAGGTCAGTAGTTCAGCAGTTCGAGACCCGAGTGTGCCGCATGACGAGTGAGCTCCTGTCTCTAGTTCCAGCTCCTGCCAACCTAGCAGTTCGAAAGCAAGAAATTGCAAGTAGATGAATAGGTACCACTTCGGTGGGAAGGTAACAGCGTTCCGTGCACCTTGGTGTTTAGTCATGCCGGCCACATGACCACGGAAACGTCTTCGGACAGAAAGCTGGCTCTTCGGCTTTGAAACGGAGATGAGCACCGCAACCCTAGAGTCGGATTCGACTGGCTTTCGAGCAACGGAACCTTTACCTTTACCTAGCAGTAGAAAAGAGCAAGAGTCCAGTAGCACCTTAAAGACTCACAAAATATGTGGCAGGGCTTCCTCCTCCCCCGCCACATATTTTGTTAGTCTTTAAGGTGATACTGGACTCCTGCTCTTTCCTTCAAATAGATGGGTAAGAGTCCTTTGCTTCCAGAACACGTTTCCAGGTGAGGCAGTGATGAAATGCAAAAGAGCGTGTAATTTGCGTTGCCTTCCCCTCTGCAGGAGGCTTTGTTCTTATTTTGTTCTGCCTTTTTGTTTTGCCTTGCAGGGACAGTGAGGCGGTTTCTCGAGATTCATGGGGAAACCCTTGAAAAAGTGGTGTTTGCAATGTCTGAGTTTGAAGAGGTGTGTGTCATTATTTCTTTGTGCCTCTGTAGGCACTGCTCTGCGGTCAGTCACTTTGCGCTCTCTCTATTCCAAAGGTTTTGTGCCCTATCCTCAATACGCTACTTCATATTCCATTGATCCATTAACCACAATAACCTCAAGGGTCGCAATAAAAATGTGCGGCTGCGATCCTCTGCAGAGTTACTCCAGTCCATGACCACTAAAGCAGTGGACCGAGATTGGAGTAACTCTGCATAGGATTGCACTGCCTTGTAAGATCATTGCGTTCTTGTTAATATATTTGAGTGATGGTCCCAAGTGGCCTCTAGTTTCTACCAGCCTATGTTTGTTGAGCTATATGGGACTTCTAGCTGTCAGGTGCTGGGGAGCACATTGCTTCCGCTACTGAAAACGAGGTTGAAATCTGTGTAAAACCTTTCATTAGGCCCAGCCAAACAGACCTCGTGTGAACTTTCAGTGATCCCCGAAACTCCTGCATCAGGCTGGACGTTACCAAATTTTAGAAGATAAAAGGATAGAAAGCAGATCCTTCAGGCCATGGTGTAAAAGGCCGAAAGCTCGCACAATCTCTTGTATCGGTTTGGCTGGTCCTAATAGCTGGTATTTCGACCATGTCATATGGAAGAGCTCACTAGAAATAGCAATTGTGCCTGTATTAGTTAGCGGCAAAAGGAAACCAGGCGGCCAAAGAACACGGTGGGTAGACACCATAAAAGTCGGCATCAGCCTGAGCATGGAATGACTCAGAGAAACCGAGCAAGATCGGAAAACGTGGAAAGAGCTGGCCCATAGAATCGCCAAGAGTCGAATGCGGCTCAATGGCTAACAGCAACAAGAAGTGGTTTTAAACAGATTTTTTTTAATTTGGGTTTTGCATGGACCAGTATGACTGTGCAGCTGTTTCGATTGCTGATCCTGTTATTTCAAAAGCCAAATGCTGTCTTACAGACCTCCTGCGGGTGGAAGCAGATTTCCCACTGCCCCTTTCCCCTTTTCCCAGAAGCCCCCTGTGGCCCCTCTAAGAAGGCACTGCTGGGGTTCAGAGAACCTTGCAGGCAAAAGCCACGAGGGTTGCGAGAAGGGCAGGCATTGGGTGCCTCCCACCTCCTCCCACCAGCACCGCATCCATCAATTTGCAGTGCTCTGGCGGAGAGCTGGAGCCGAGCCCTCGTTCCCGGCTGGTCTTGAAAACGGGAGGTGGCAGCCAAGCATCCTCAAGCCTTCTTGGTTTTGCAGGCCACTTACCAGAAGCTGCTGCCTCTGTATTTCCCGAGGTCGTTCGAAGAGGAAAGGCGGTCCTTGCCTTTCCTGCCTGCCGATATCGGTAACGCAGAAGGGGAGCCAGTGGTGCCCGAGCGTCAGATCAGAATTAGCGAAAAGCCAGGCATTTCAGAAGGTGAGTCGGACATTCATGCCCAGGGAACCGGGAAGGACTCAGAGGGCCTGGGAATGGCCCACAAAGCAGACTCCTGTAGCCTTCTTTTCAGCTTGTGGTCAGAATGACCTGGGGGGTTGCGTTTCATCCGAACCAGTCCAGGGCTCTTTTTGTAGCAGGAACTCATTTGCATGTTAAGCGACACACCCCTAATGTAGCCAATCCTCCAAGAGCTTACAGTAGCTCCTGTAAGAAAAGCTCTGTAAGCTCTTGGAGGATTGGCTACATTAGGGGTGTGTGGCCTAATATGCAAAGGAGTTCTTGCTACAGAAAGAGCCCTGCGAACTCACCAATGCACTACATCGGCATCATTTCTGGGTGGCACCACTCCAAGACTTTCTAGCTGCTGTGCAGTTCTCCTCTGGCTTCCTTATGAAGAAGAGAAGTCGGTTTTTATACCCCACTTTTCTCTACCTTGCGGAGTCTTAAAGGGACTTACAATCGCCTTTCCCCACAACAGGGCCTTTGCGAGGTAGGTGGGGCTGAGAGAGTTCGGAGAGAGCTGGGACTGTCCCAGGGTCACCCCGGAGGCTTCGTGGGGAGGAGGAGTGGGGAATCAAACCCGGTTCTCCAGATTAGAGTCCCCCACTCTCAATCACCACACCACGCTGAGTCCCTTATGCCAAATGTGGACGGTGGCGCTCTCACGATAGCTCCTCTCTTACTCTTGGACGGTTTGGGTGGCGGGTTTTTTTGCAGATAATTCTGACGAGGAAGGGCTCGAAGCAGACTTGGCCTTCATCGGCTCCCACGCTTTTGCCCGCATGGAAGGGGACGTGGACAAGCAGAGGCGCCTTGTTCTCCAGGGGCAGCTCTCGGAAGCGGCACTGAAGAAGCAGCACCAGAGGAAGTGAGAGGCTGTTGTAAATCGGCGCACCTTCTCGTGATGTTTGGTCTTCAAGGGCCGTAGGCCATGGGGCAGCTGCATTATGTCAATACATATCAACGGCTGCATGGTTGTGTCCTGCCAGCATGAGGGAAACACTCGTGTGTTTAAACCTGTTACGGGTCTCTGGGCAGACATATTCTGCATTTGGCATGCAAGGACGGCCCTTGTGTTCTGCTTTCCCCCTCCCTGTCCCCAGGATGGATCCTGTGGATCCGGTCTGCTGGCGGAGCCACTCTCCCAGGCAGATGGATCGAGCTGGGTAGCCGTGTTAGTCTGTCTGTAGCAGCAGGAAAAGCGCAAGAGTCGAGTAGCACCTGAAAGACTAACAGATTTGTGGCAGGGGAGGAGCTTTCCGGAGTCCCTGTATCTGAAGAAGCGAGGAGTGACTCATGAAAGCTCCTACCCTGCCACTCATCTTGTTAGTTCTGAAGGTGCTACGGGACTCTTTCTCTTTTCTACTTCCACAGGCAGAAGAGGTCTTCCTGGGACACAAAAACATCTTCCAGCAGCAGGTTTCTTTCACTACAGCAGTTGTAGTGAACCAGAGAACCGCCTCTGCAATCCCCAGGAACCAAAACAGCCCTGTGACTCCTGTATGCCTCGTACACCACCACCACACCAAGCACACATGTACAACCCCATGAGATATAACTCTTCGTATTAAATGCAGTCTGTATTTACTTGAAAGGAAGATGACCCCGGGCTGTAAGATGAAACCCCCCCCCCCATGTTGTACGCAAAGAGGGTTTTTTTATTATTGGACATAACTGCAACTTGCGTGCAAATTTAAGATGATCCTCTCTTTAGTTATGGCATACTTGGGAAAGAATTGGCTTGCATATGAGGAAGTACTATAACTGTAACCTTCTTAGTTGGACCAGAGTACTTCTGAACATGCAAACATAGTGAACAAGACGAAATACTATTTTACACAGTGAGTGATTAAAATGTGGCATTTGCTGCCAGAGGGAGGATGCAGTGATGGCCACAGACATAGGTAGGTAGAAAGTGCCGTCAAGGCACAGCTGACTTGGGGTGACCCCAAGAACGGCGAGAGCCGTTCAGAGGTGGTCTGCCATTGCCCGCCTCTGTGTCACAACCCTGGTATTCCATGGTGGTCTCCCATCCAAATACTGACCAGGGCCAATCCTGATTAGCAGGGCTTTTTTGGTGGAAAAAGCCCAGCAGGAACTCATTAGCATAATAGGCCACACCCAACAGCAGAAACTCATTAGCATAATAGGCTGCACCCCCGTGTGGTCATCCAGCCACACCCACCTTTTGCTTCTTATTTTGTTGACCTTGTTTGTGGTCAGAACCCAGGGCTTTTTTTGTAGCAGGAACTCCTTTGCATGTTAGGCCACACACCCCTAATGTAGCCAACCCTAATGAGTTCCTGCTGTTGGGTGTGGCCTATTATGCTAATGAGTTCCTGCTGGGCGTGGCCAACTTGGGAGCCAGCCGGAACTCCATTCCTGTGCGTTCCTGCCCCAAAATAGCCCTGCTGATTAGCTTCTGAGATCAGACAAGATCAGGTTAGCCTGGGACATCCAGGTCAGGGCAGCCACAGACCACTTTAAAGGGGGATTAGATAGATTCATGGAGGAGAGGTCTGTTGGTGGCTATGAGACACAATGACGAAAGAGAATCTCCATGTTCAGAGGCAGTAAACTTCTGAATACCAGTGCTAGGAGGCTACATCAGAGGAAGCCCTTGGCCTCTATGCCCTAGTGTTGGTCCCCCCCAAAGGAACTGGTCGGACAGTATGTGAGATGAGATGCTGGACTAGGTGGACCACTGGTCTGATCCAGCAGGGCTCTTCTTACACAATGCCCAGTGTTCCCTCTAAGCTGAGTTAGTGTGAGCTAGATCACCGTTTTTTAGCCTCCGGCTCACACATTTCCGTCTTTGCTCAGGAAGGAACGGCTCCAGAGCAAACCAATTTATGCAGTAGCCAAATCGCTCGCTCAAAACGTTGATGCCAGGAGCTCACCAAGTAGACTTTTGGCTCACGAGACTCCACAGCTCACAGGGAGCATTGGTAGTGCCGTCTCTTCCCACCGCTGGAGAACCGCAGCCAGCCCTTGTACAACTCAGATTTATGATGCAAAAATAGTGCATGAGGAAAGGGCTCCCGCTGGCAGAATGGATCCGTGGGATCCAACCCATGTAATTGCTTGCTAATATTCCGTGCACGCCTGCTGCTTTGTAATCAATAAAGCATAAGTTGTCTCGGATTGTTTTCGTGTACTCATCTGGCAAAAGGCCTCCGCTGCTGGTCTTTCACAGTAGCCTCGATGTCAAATGTTGGGTGGTTCTGATCTCACATGTGTCCACCTTCTAGTTACAGTCGCTGGCTCTGTCAGGCGAGAGCGGAAGACCTCTCTGACATCGCTTCCCTGAAAGCTTTGTACCAAACAGGTGAGTTTTAAGGCCAGACGTGGATTTTGCCCCCCGAACTCCTCTTTGCGGAAGGCTTGCATTGTGGTGAAGGGTGACCAAAGCGGCCCAGCAGGAGGAGGATAGGGTGTAACTGGAGTAAGTCTGCTTGCTCAGAGAAACTCAAAAAAAGGGTAAAAAATCAACGCCAAATTGCAAAGAACACGGGGGTAGGGAAGCAGTTCTGCGATGGCGATGAGGACGTGCGGAAGCTGAATTCGTTTTGGGAGAGAGAAAGCCGGAGGACTTGCTACATCTCGGAACCCCTTCAGGACTCTATCCGTTCTCACAGTTTGTGAGCAACCGTCCATCCGGGGTGGTTTTTGTGTTTGACTGGATCGTTGCCTTTGACCTTTTCTAGGGGTGAGCACGTTCCCCCAGCTCCATCCCAATTTAGCATTCCTTCCATTTTTATTCCAGGGGAGGGGACTGTGGCTCAGGGGAAGAGCCTCTGCTTTGCATGCAGAAGGGTCCCAGGTTCGATCCCCGGCGTCTCCCGTTAAAAGGATCAGGTTGTAGGCAATGTTCCCTCTAAGCTGTGGAGTCTTGTGAGCAAAAATTCTACTTTGTGAGCTACTGGCATTCAAGTTGTGAGCAAGCAATTGGGCTACTGCATACATTAGCTTGCTCTGGAGCCCTCCTTCCCGAGCTAAGACAAAAATGTGTGAGCCGGAGGCTAAAAAACCGTGAGCTGGCTCACACTAACTCAGCTTAGAGGGAACACTGGTTGTAGGTGATATGAAAGAGCTCTGCCTGAGACCCTGGAGAGACGCTGCCAGTCCGAGTAGACAGTACTGACCTTGCTGGACTAAGGGTCTGATACAGTAGGCTTCATGTGTATGTATAACTTCACCCGTGACGAAATTTCTGTTGGATTTATTATGGTGTTAAAGAGCAGAGCTTGAGGACTAGCACAAGAACTCTCTGTCCCAACTTGCTGTTGTCCATATCGCTTTTGAAGCTTGGGAGCTCGACAGAAGGGACGCTCAAGTGAAGGTCCTGCAGAAAAGCTTATTATTTCACTGCCGCAGTTGTCTTATGAACGATTGATTCTTTGCTTTGACTTGTTTTCCACTCGTGGAGCCGCAAAGGGTTTGGTTTGGTTTTTCAATGTTAACCTCAAATTTCTTTTATTTTATTTGGAGGCGTGGATAACTGTGGCCGTACAGTGATGGCAGTGGTTGGGCGGAATATTCCTGTAACGCTAATAGACATGGAGAAGGTGAGATCCTGAGAGAAAATATTAAATATTTATGGTGTGATTGCCTGGACTTGGATAGCCCAGGTTAGCTGGATCTCGTCAGATCTCAGAAGCTAAGCAGGGTCGGCCCTGACAAGTAATTAGATGGGAGACCACCAAGAAATACCAGGGTCGCAAGACAAAGGCAGGCAATGGCAAACCACTTCCAAATATCTCTTGCCTTGAAAACCCTGAAGGATTCCCTTTAGGGATGGGCACGAACCGAGTCATGAGCAAAAAATTCGGGCCGAACTTGGGCCGGTTCAGAGCTCAAGAACCAATGTTTGAGGAAGGCACCTTCCCCAAATATTTACTGGACGTTTCGCCAGTTCAGTTTGGCTGTTCTGGGCAGCCATTTAAATTTGAGCTGCACGGGGTCCGCTGCAGAAAGGGAGTGGGGATCACCCGGGAAGGAGCTTCATTTTACCCTTCCATTTTGCTCACTGCCACTTCGGGGAGGTGGGGGGGAGAGCAAAACCAAAGGGTTAAATGAAGCCCCTCCCCAGATGACCGGAAGTGTGTCAGAAGGCAACATCCACCACTCAGGCTCCACTGGAATATTTTGGATTGCTAGCTATTGGGGGGGGAGAACGTGCAGATCTGTCCTCACTGAGGAGGGAGATCTTGTATCCGAATAAATCTTGGTCTTAAAGGTGCCACTGGACTATTTTGGACCGGGGGGGGGGGGCTCTGCAACTTACCTGGCTGCTGCTTGATCTGACTGAGGGTTGCTGGGAGCAGGGGGTGGGGCTTGTTGCATGTGCCCGCCCCCTGGGCTCTTTACTGCCGGAGCTCCGCTCCTGTGCGCTCCTGCAGGAAATGACCCCTGGATGAATGCAGTATTTTTTAGAGTGGGATGCCTTAAAGGTTAGTAGTGTGTGTGGGGGGATTAAGAGACAAGTGCTTGTTCGTTTTGAGAGGCCCAAAGGATGAAGGGCACCGTTCTCTGCCGAACCAGTGAACTCTGCTTGTGGGTTTTTCTCCCTCTCAGGCTCTCTTGTATTTCATCCATGTGATGGACCACATTGTAGTGAAAGAGTACGTCATTGTGTATTTCCACACGCTCACGAATGTCTACAATCACCTGGACTCGGACTTCCTGAAGAAACTCTACGACATTGTCGACGTCAAGTGAGTGTTCTCCAGGATGTGTTTAAGCCACGTCGTCTCATCTTATTTTCCCTCTTGACAAAACACACACACAAAGAAGCTTTATCCACCAAAAAAGGAGGACGAGTACCATACCAGGACAACGACCTGTATCCTGCCACCCTGCTCAGCCAAGTTTGAGGCCTTCTCCCGTCCTAAGGAGTCTTCCTCCGACTTATGTGGCCAATGGCAAAAGAGCCCCTTGACTTTGAGGAAGGCTTTAAACTTTTCTCAGCAGAGAGGCAGTGATACACTAGAATGAGCCCGAACTGTGAAAAGGTAGATAGACTTCTTTGCAGGGCCAGAGGCCCATGTTTTGGAGCATGTGAAGATAACTTATATTTCCACACAGTGCCCCGACTGCCACAGTGAGCCGTGATGAGACATGCAGTAAAACATGCGATGAGGTGACAGACTAGATAGCCACGCTGCTTCAGACTACAGAGGAAGGATGACATTTTTCAGAGTTCCCTTCTATTAACAATTCCCTGCAAGTGGAAAACTAGCACATAAGAACATAAGAACGCCAATGTTGGATCAGGCCAAAGGCCCATCCAGTCCAACACTCTGTATCACACAGTGGCCAGAAATACCAGTGCCATCAGGAGGTCCACCAGTGGGGCCAGGACATTAGAAGCCCTCCCACTGTTGACCCACCCCCCCAAGCACCAAGATGACAGAGCATCCCTTGCCCCAGAGTCCCTATCTATACCTTGTGGCTAATAGCCACTGATGGACCTCTGCTCCATATGCTTATCTAATTCCCTTTTGAACATCATGCGAAGGACTGGGCTAGAATCTTTCTCCCTGAAGTGCTATCTTATTCTCAGGGAGTTTTTATCGAAGGGTTCATTAAACATGTGATGCTCAAAATTCTACCACCTCTGTCTCCTGCCTTGTGGTCCATGAGGTCTTCAGCAGGCCTCTGAAGATAAGCTGCACGGCGCTAGAGATTGTGATGCTTTGCTTTTGATAATCTCTTCAGTTTTACTGTAGCGAAACTGTTCAGGGCAACTTTAGTCAATGAAGACCTGGGACAATTGGCATTTTTAATTTATTTCCGTTTCAATTTTCAATTGATTTTTTTTTTTTTTTTAATATGGAACTCAAATCTGGGGCGAGGATTGCAGAGAATGTTTTCTGATCCTGCAAACATTTGTTCCACGCGTGAGGCACTTACCTGCTGTTGTTGTTGTTCACCTAGGTACAAAAGAAATCTGAAAGCCCTGTACTTCGTCCATCCAACATTTCGCTCAAAGGTGAAGTATGCCGTCTCCAGGTGGCAAGGTTGCCTCTTTGGTCAGGGTGCAAGCGGCCTTAACATATCAGGCACTATCAGCCAGACTATAGTTGTCTTTGGTAGAGTGATCTGATTAATTCCGTGCCAATATAAGGTTTGGCACTGCAGTCATTTGGGCAAGGTAGCTAGTTGGCTCTCTTGAACACCTCATTTTGTGAGTGACCTCTCCTGAAAGAGATCCTCATCCTCTGTCTCTTGGCTAACTTAACACTGTATCTTTGCTGGACAACTGGATGGAAAGAGTACTGTACATTCCATGCCATCTTATAGATGGGGGGAGGGGTTCATTTCTCTCTTTGTCTCCTTTCAAATCCCCATTAACTCATCTTTTCCTTGACTCCAGATTTCAACCCAGTTTCTTAAGTATGTGCTGTATTTTCCCACTTACTGTATTTATTTGTTTCTTCCCCTTTTCTGTTTTAGATCTGTTAGGTCTGTGGGGACAGGGACCTATCTCTTTCGGCCTGTGGGGCTCTGAAAAGTGCTATTCTGCATTTAAAAAAATTACTGCAGGAGTTGCCATGTCCCACCTCAACACCTTGGCAGGTCTTGGCTCAGCAGTGCTGGGTGTGGGCTGCGTCTAGAAAGAACACACATGACAGAGAGCAAATAAAACGTGGTTGCAGTATTTCTGTAAGCTGTCTTGCCATCATTCTTAAAATAGTGACACTGCAAAGCAGTGATCACTGAAATTGATCCCTTTTCATACAGGAGTCTTAGAATAAGCAATAAAATGTTCCTAGATCATCAACTTAACTTTTTAAGAACCGAAGAAGAGCCCTGCTGGATCAGACCAGCGGTCCATCTAGTCCACCATCCTATCCCACACAGTGGCCAGCCAGTTCCTCTGGATGGCCAACAACAGGGCATAGAGACTGAGGCCTTCTTAAGAACAGAAGAAGAGCCCTGCTGGATCAGACCAGTGAGGGCCCATCTAGTTCAGCATCCTGTCCCACACAGTGGCCAAGCAGTTCCTCTGGATGGCCAACAACAGGGCATAGAGACTGAGGCCTTCATAAGAACAGAAGAAGAGCCCTGCTGGATCAGAGCAGTGGTCCATGTAGTCCACGATCCTGTCTCACATAGTGGCCAACCAGTTCCTCTGGATGGCCAACAACAGGGCATAGAGGCCAAGGCCTTCCCCTGATGTTGCCTCCTGGCCCTGTGATTCAGAGGTTGAGCACCTCTGAATGTGGAGGTCCCCCTCAGTCACCGGGGCTAGTAGCCATTGATAGACCTGTCCTCCATGAATCTTATCTAATCCCCTTTTAAAGCTGTTTATTCCTGTCTTGACCTGGATGGCCCAGGCAAGCCCGATCTCGTCAGATCTCCGAAGCTTCAGCAGGGCCAACCCTGGCAAGTACTTGGAAGGAAGATCTCCAAAGAATACCAGGGCTGGGACGCAGAGGCAGGCAGTAGTAAGCCACCTCTCTGAAATGTCCAAGCCCCACTAGGGTTAGGGTTAGGGTTAGGGTTAAATTCAAAAATTCAAACATGACTTCCAGGCGTACACACACTAACAGAATACCAACAAAAGCTTTTCCTTTGGCCATCGCTACATCCTCTGGCAGGGAATTCCACATTTAATCACACTCTGTGTAAAGAAGTATTTCCTTTTGTCCGTCCTGAACCTACTGCCCATCAGCTTCATTGGATGCCCTCGAGTTCCCGTCTTTGGGGAGAAAAAAAGTTCTCTTTGTCAGCTCTCTCCACCCCCCGTGCATAATTTTATAAACTTCTATCATGTCCCCCCCCCCCCCCTTAGTCGTCTCTTTTCTCAACTGAAAAGTCCCGGACTCTTTGGCCTTTCCTCCTAGGGGAGGTGCTCCAACCCCCTAATCATCTGGTTGCCCTCCTCTGTACTTGTTCCAGCTCTGCAGTGTCCTTTTGGAGAGACGGTGACCAATGTTCCCTCTAAGCTGTGGAGTCTTGTGAGCAAAAATTCTACTTTGTGAGTGACTGGCATTAAAGCTGTGAGCCGAGCGATTTGGTTACTAACACCTGCTAGAAAACACCTGGCTGTAATTACATGATTACTAGCATGACAGCTAGGTCTGACAAACAGATCAAACTGATCTATAGTAACTGCTTGCTACCTCCATCACTCTGACATATATCTCAATAGCCACACCATAGATCTATACAGAGGCATTATAATATCAATAGCCACACCATAGATCTATACAGAGGCATTATAATATCAGCCGTTTTATGTTAAATCCTTTTCGTAATAATCCCTAACACAGAGTTTGCCTTCTTCACTGCCGTGGTACACTGGGTTGAGACTTCCATTGAGCCATCCACTATGACCCCAAGATCTTTTCCCCTCTCAGTCTCAGCAAGTTCAGACCCCATTTGCCTGTACTTGAAGTTGGGATTCTTTTTGTCCCCATGTGCCATCACCTCACACTTACCAACCTTGAACTTCCTTTGCCCCCTTGTCGCCCACTTGCCCAGTCAGCGGAGGTCCTCTCGGAGCTTTGTGCTTTAGCCTTGTTCAGCTGTTTGGTGTAGTGGTTAAGTTTGGTGTGGTGGTTAAGTGTGCGGACTCTAATCTGGGAGAACCGGGTTTGACTTCCCACTCCTCCACTTGCACCTGGCTGGATGACCTTGGGCAAGCCGTAGTTCTGATAAGAGCTGTCCTTGGAAAAAGAGCAGTTTCTGTCAAGAGCTCTCTCAGCCCCTACCTACCTCACAGGGTGTCTGTTGTGGGGAGGGGAAGGGAAAGGAGTTTGTAAGCCGCTCTGAGACACCTTTAGGTAGTGAAGGGCGGGGTATAAATCCAATCTCCTCTTCTCTTCTTCTCTTCTGAAACGCTGACAGGACGCATGGTTCTGTTGGCATGTTCTCTGGACAAATGTTTTAAAAGCACAGGTTTCACAGTAGCATTAATTTCCCATTCTCACACGTTAGGTGTCGACGTGGTTTTTCACCACCTTCACCATCTCGGGCCTGAAGGACAAAATCCACCAAATCGAAAGCCTCCAGCAGTTGTTCACAGCCATTCCCCCCGAACAGATTGACTTCCCGCCGTTCGTCCTAGAATACGACGCCAGGGTAGGTGCCTTCCGGGAGCGGAATGTCACTTCCTGTTTCCGGGTGGGCGCGAGGACACTGGTGGGGTCTCCTTCCCTCTGCGCACAAATCACTCTGAGGCCGGGCTTTCCCGTAAGCTTCTGGAACCTCTGCTAGGAAGAGCTCCCTACCATGGGAATTGGGCTACTACTGGTGGAGATATTCAGGGCACTCCGTAATGGTGCATAATGTCTTATCAGGGTCAACGTCACTAACAAAGAGGTAGACACCCCGCTGCAGTGGAAGCAACAGCAAGGAATCACTGACGCTTGCTTGGTAGTTGTTGCCCCTCCATACGCTGTGGTTGCGTTCTTCCTTCACCACCTTCAAGCGCCCAGCGACAGCTCCTTTTATCTGACGGGGCCAGGTGGGCGCGCGCATCCCAAGAGCGTTTCCCCCCCCCCTTTCCCCTCCCAGTTTATCCGGGCACGACAGGGGTAGTGCCTACAAGTCCATACACTCTGAGTACGCAAATCCAAGACTCCCGTCTGCAAGAGGGAACCTTGGAGAGATGTGATAGGATGCCCGGGGGGATGGGGAGGACACACACCTTTGGCCTAAGCCCTGAAGATAAGCCAAGTTGATCTCCGGCACCCCAGCGTTGCAGGTGCCATATTTCAGAGCGTGTGCCGCCATAGTTCAGCAGCCCTGGTCCTACAGGCCGCCGTCCATGTTGGGGAAGGCCATCCTGCCCGAGTGCTAGGCTGCTTCTCACAGAGAACCTTTTTCTCTACGGAAGAATCCTTCGCTATCCAGTTATGTATAGGTAATACCGAGGCATCTTTGTTTAGATTTCTCTCTCAGCTGTGGCTCCATAACAGAATGACAAAATTATGGCCCCTTCCCCAGTGCCTGCTGTCAGGTAATATTATTGGGCACTGGAGCATCTATATTCACCTGGTATGCGAGGCATGGGTTTTGATGGTACTGTCTACTGTACCATCAACTGTTTTACTGTTTTATTGTTTTATGGACTGTATGCTGTATGTAGGGGTCATTTCGTAGACAAAGAGGTGCAGGAGCTCAGCATAAATTATTAGCATAATTTATATGCATATGCCACACACCCTGACATCACCGGAAGTGTGTCAGAAGGCAACACTCACCACTCAGGCTCCACTGGACTGTTTTGGATTGCTAGCTATTTGGGGGGGGGATGTGCAGATCTGCTCTCACAGAGGAGGGAGAGCTTGTACCCGAATAAAACTTGGTCTTAAAGGTGCCACTGGACTGTTTTGGACCGAGGGCCCGGTGGGGCGCTCTGCAACTTAACTGGCTGCTTCTTGCTCTGACTGAGGGCTGCTGGGAGCAGGGGGCGGGGCTTGTTGCATGTGCCCGCCCCCTGGGCTCTTTACTGCCGGAGCTCCGCTCCTGCAGGAAATGACCCCTGGCTGTATGCTGCCCTGAGCCCACTTGTGGGATAGGGTGGGGTATAAATTGAATTAACAATAATAATAATAGTAGTAGTAATAGACCACGATAACTTTGCTGGAGCTCTGCCATTGGATTAAGTGAATAGCTGTTTGTAGGAGCAGGGCAGCGGGGGAGGTGGTTTGGTTCAGTGGGAGAAAGCACTATGAAAAATTCCATTCTACATACGTTGGCTCCATCAATTAACTCGCCTTTCTCCCCGCAGGAAAACGGGCCCTACTATTCTTACCCTTCTTCTCCAGACCTCTGACCCCGCCGCTCTGCCGTTATCTCTGGTTTCCTGAGGACCCTCCCCGTGACCCACCGCTTGCCAACGCCGTTGGTGCTGAGCTGCCCCGATCCGTGTACAGAGATCAGAGGGACGGGTTTTCCTCCCCACCTCTGGCTATTTTTTTACAAGCGACCTTCGCAAGCACACAAGCAATCAGGATCCTGTATCTTTAGGAACAGTCATGGTGTCAGATCTCTCTCTCTCCCTCTCCAGTGGAAAAGCTGGTTCTGGACTTCTGGAGTAGATTTGATTTTCTCTCCCCCCCCGGATATCAAGACTTCGTTCCTCACAAAACCAGCTTTCTCAAGAGGTACCAGGAGCGGGTCTTAATCTTATCCTGCAAGGTCTCAGCTTTTCCGTCACTGTCCTGTTCTGGAGTGGTTGGAGGGGAGGGGGGGGGGGAGAGATACAGTATCAGCTTGACGATCTTCATTCACCTTTGCACCTCAGACCCTCCGTTCGGGTGACTGATTTTTCCGCAGCGGAGTCTGGAAACGTAGCTGCAGACCCGGCAGAGCTTTGCTGTCCAGCACACACGCCCTTCCCCAAAAACCTGCTGGAGTCCAACGTCTTAAACGGCACCTGAGTTTGGAACCTGGCAGTCTGACTTCTTATTCCCTGGATGATGTGAGACGCGAGGGGAGAGGAGGCTGCCGCTGCTGCCGCCACTCTCCCACCGGACAGTGAAACAGAAGGACCTGCCAGCAGGGGAATCCCGTAGTCCTGGCACGTTCTTCTCTGGAAAGGACAAGAGAGGCGGATGCTGTAAAGAAGGCCATCTTGGATCACGTGCCAAGGCTCTGATGACTGAAATCTGTATCGTTGCAGGGGAAGGAGTGGGGGAATCGAGAATGCAGTGTTTTGTCTCGAAAAGAAATAAATGATTTGTTATCTGCCTTCCGGAAGGCGTGTGTAATCCTTGAAGGGCTGTGGAGTTGTTTTCTGTTGCCCCAGAAGGTCGGACCAGAGCCCACGGGTTGAAATGAAATCAGAAGAGTCTTGGGCTAAACATTAGGAAGAACGTTGTGACACTTAGGGCAGTTTGGTGTAGTGGTCAAGTGCGCGGACTCTAATCTGGGAGAACCGGGTTTGATTCCCCACTCCTCCATTTGTACCTGCTGGATGACCTTGGGCAAGCCGTAGCTCTGATAAGAGCTGTTCTTGAAAAAAAGAGCAGTTTCTGTCAGAGCTCTCTCAGCCCCACCCACATCACAAGGTGTCTGTTGCGGGGAAGGGAAAGGAGTTTGTAAGGTGCTCTGAGTAGCGAAGGGCGGGGTATAAATCCAATCTCTTCTTCTTTCTAAGAACCACCTTATTCGGCAAAGACTTGCACATTTAAAACAAGGCCTTTTTGCCTTTTATGACTTCACTGTGGCAAGGCACTGACCGACAGGAAGGAGTTATCTGGCAAACCAAATGTGTATTGGTGGTGGTGGTGGGGAGAGAACAGGCACAGTGCGCAGTTAAGTGTGCAGACTCTAATCTGGGACAACCGGGTTTGATTCCCCACTCCTCCACTTGCACCTGCTGGATGACCTTGGGCAAGCCATAGTTCTGATAAGAGCTGTTCTTGAAAAAAGAGCAGTTTCTGTCAAGAGCTCTCTCAGCCCCACCTACCTCACAGGGTGGTCTGTTGTGGGGAGGGGAAGGGAAAGGAGTTTGTAAGCCGCTCTGAGACACCTTTGGGTAGTGAAGGGCGGGGTATAAATCCAATCTCCTCCTCTTCTTCTCAGAGGAACAGGCTTCCTCGGGAGGGGGTGGGCTCTCCTTCTTTGGAGGTTTTCGAGCAGAGGCTAGAGGGCCACCTGACAGCAATGCCGGTTCAGTGAACTTAGGCAGGTCATGAGAGGGAGGCTGCAGGAAGGGTTGCCTCAGTGCTTAGTTCTCCAGGCCGGTTTGGCCAGGGATCCTGGAGGTTTTTTGTCATCTTCTGGGTGTGGAACAGCAGCCACTCGAGGTGTGGAGGGGGGAGGTATTTGTGAATGTCCTGCATTGTGCGGGGGGGTTGGGCTAGATGACCCCAGAGGTCCCTTCCAGCTCTGTGATTCTATGATCTTGCAAAGCATTCCCCCCTCCCCCTTAACCGGTGGTCTGCGCCTTCCAAAGGCAAAGGGTGACTGACGATATTCGTAAACACCTGTGCCGCTGGGCGGCCAATGAGACGGGAGCTTTGCTAGGGCGCTGGTTGATGCTTGGCTAAGAGACCCCTTGGGAAACCCCGTGGGTGATGGAACGTGGGGATCCTTTCGATAGCCAGGAGCCACTTCGGGCCGAAATCCATTCTAGCCACATGCTCGAAATGTCCCTGAGGGCAGTGGGCAAGAGCTCCCGGTCCATTTTGACGCCCCAGACAGAAAGTTTAAATGGCCCCTTCCCCAACTATACTGGTAAAGACAGTGCAGACGGCAATATTTTGCTTTCCATGCATCCCCCCCCCCCCCCCCCCCCCGCACACGGCCATGCTCTGGCTAGTCCTAGCCGCTACTGGGGCAGCAGAGTGAGTCTGAAAGGGAAGCTCTCACAGAAGACTCCGCCTAGGGCGAAGAGGGCCGGTCCTTTCCAGGCCAGAGTGCGCAAGGAAAGACGTATCAGCTCATGTGGGCTTAGGAGAGGGTTGCCACCCTCCAGGTAGCACCCGGAGATCGCCCACAATTACATTTGATCCCCAGCCAACCAAGATCAGTTCTCTTGGAGAAAGCGGTTGCCTCGAGGGCAGCCCTACTCTGAATCCAAATTTAATGCCAACCTCTGAATTAGTTTTCTTAAGTCTGTTTTCGGCAGGCCACACCTACTTGGGGCATAAATACATAATATTTTTTTCCCCGTTAATGCGACTAGCAGTACACAGTGCAGGCATTACATTGCCCTAGGGAGACCAAGCTTCAAGTCCCCACGTTATGACACTCACTGGGTGACCGCGGGACAGCCATGCTCTCAGACGAGCCTACCTCGAAGGGGTGTGAGTGTAACACGAAAGAGGGAGGAGCTATACAGGCCAACTTGTGCTCCTTCGACGAAGGGTGGAAGGAAATAGCCGTTATCACAATGGCCGCAGTCTACAGAACCATTGACCCTGGGCAGCGGGCCTCTGGAGAGGAGAAATTAGAAGAAACTCCACAGAGGTCACTCATCTGCAGCAGCTTTCCATGAGTTTTGACGGCTGCTTGTGGATTGTCAGCCCTTAGGGCTCTTTTTGTAGCAGGAACTCCTTTGCATATTAGGCCACACACCCCTAATGTAGCCAATCCTCCAAGAGCTTACAGAGCTCTTCTTACAGGAGCTACTGTAAGCTCTTGGAGGATTGGCTACATTAGGGGTGTGTCGCTTAACATGCAAATTAGTTCCTGCTACAAAAAGAGCCCTTAAAGTGCATTAGACGATGTCCACGTGCTCACCTTCGAAGCCTCATCCTCCGTGTCGGGAGTCGTTCTGTAAACTTGCTCGGACAAGCAAGGAGGCTTCTCATCAGTCATACTCGAGGCACTGTTCACGTCACGAAAGGCTTGTATATTTTTCCATCTCCCGATAAGCACTTGTTCTTTTTCACACACAGTTGCCCCTCCGCAGCTGCTCTGTTGCAAAATAATTCACATCTCCTGAGTCTTACGTGAAAGGTTGGATCCAGTTTTCTCTAGGGGCTGATTAGCTTAGAGCAGTGGCGCACGCGGTGCTCCACAGCTGGAGGAGAGCCACATTGGCACTTCTCATCAATCAAATGAGCCCCGCTGATTTCCAGCCCCAGCCTGCAGCCTGCCCCTCAGGGAGCCTCAAAACTTACCTGCTCTTCTGGGGATGGCTGCTTCACGGTGGGAATAGCCTGTCCACCACGAGCCCCACCAGGCAAGGGCTTTGCCCACTTCACCTGCCCCGTATTTCAGAAGCCATATTGGCAAACCTGCTGGGATATTTGGTTAATATAGCGGAGTTTTGCCCCGTCATAGAAGCGTGACGCTGAGTGCAGCAAATAAATCTCCCAAGAAGTATATTGCAAAAAAAGGTAAACTCGCATTTATTCAGGTAGATCCAGTTCACATTCAGGTTGAAGTCAAAGAGAAGCCTGATGAAGAAGAAGAAGAAGAAGAGATTGAATTTATACCCTGCCCTTCATTACCCAAAGGAGTCTCAGAGCGGCTTACAAACTCCTTTCCCTTCCCCTCCCCACAACAGACACCCTGTGAGGTAGGCGGGGCTGAGAGAGCTCTGACAGAAACTGCTCTTTTTCAAGAACAGCTCTGACAGAACTATGGCTTGCCCAAGGTCATCCAGCAGGTGCAAGTGGAGGAGTGGGGAATCGAACCCGGTTGTCCCAGATTAGAGTCTTAACCACAACATCATGCATGTGTGGGGGAGTATGAGGGCACTGTCTCTACAGGAGAGCCCTGCCCAGACATGTGCCTCTATGGAAGGCCATGTGAAGAATGTGAGAGGACAAAGCTAGAGAGAGGAGAGGTCAAAAGGCCACTCCCAGGTGAAGACAAAGAGAGGCATTCCATTCAAGGAGAGAACACCTATACACCCTTAGTGTGATGTAGCACCCTCCAGTGTCTAGGCATGCTGTTTCACTCACCCCTGAAGTTAATCTCTTGTCTTGAAAACCCTTGTGGGGTTGCCATAATTCTAGCTATGACTTGACAGCAAAAAAAAATTATATTGCATTTGCAAAACCCAGGGGAAGGAGGCATGAGGCACCCGGTTGAGAAGGCCAAGTACCCTTGATGACGATGCTGCTGCTGATGTTATGGCATCATAAAAGCCAACAGATGTCTTACAGCACCTGTGCTGTCCCAGCCAGCTTCAATGTACCTTTAAGAGTAGTTGCACCCTGGGAATTGAAGTCCACAGTTAGGGGTCCCAGAAGCTTCCCTCTGACTGGCTCATTAAGAGTAATTTCCTGAGCTCAGAGGCACAAAGATAGGAGTTTTATTGTTCTTTTCCATTTCTTTGTCCATCAACCCTTACTGCAAGGAGAGGGGAAGCCCATCTCTTCTCTCACCACGGCGATAGAACTGACCTAGATCACAAGATGTAACTTCCACCCAGATATATCAGCTCGATTGTGAGTAAATGATTTTCTGAATGTGTGTGAAGTTAAATAAAGATGATTTAAGCTCTCCTCGGTAGTCGTGCGTTGACTCACAACCTAGAGAGCGTTGGCTTAGCCCAGCTACCGGTTTTGTAAAGCCCATTTTATCAGATGACAAAATGCAAGCTCTCCTCAGGGCAGTGGGACTTGCTCCTGAGTAAACAGGATATGCCACATAAGCCTATTGATTTTAATAGGAATGCTTCAAACTTTTTTTCCCACATTTGTAATCCATGGGACTTGGTAGTTATTCAAAGTTAGCAAGCAGTTTCTGGCTAGTCAAGCCGTACCGGGAGCCCAGGCTAGATTGTTTTTGCA